ATATCATTTCTTTTCATATATTTTGAAGTACTAATTCATGCCAGTAAGCCACTGGCCATATATCACGACTTTAGGGCTATTGGTTTCTCAGAAGTGCCTCGAAGACCTTGATTATATAGATCAATGTAATTTTTTTCACACTATTTTTAGATTATAATGTCAGCATCATTCACAAATGTTTCTCACATGAACTTAATTTAAACAAGAGGATATTGAAAACTCTGGTACCAAGTTTGAAGAAAATTGGTTAACATTTGTTGTAGCTACTGCACGGAAACGAAACGCAGTGTTAATGATGTTTTTCGTTGTTCAAGGGGCCATACAGAGATGTACCTCCGCCAAATGGGGTCTGCTTAAAGTGGTCCTCGAACTTGGCCGAGCCCTTAAGGCATTTAACCATGTGACCATATAATTTTTAACCAATCAATCAGCTCTGTTTTTTTATAATTGTATAAATTAATTTTATCAAGCTCAAGAATTCTTTATTTGCTTTCAGGTCTTCATGTATTCCAGTATTCCATGATGATAGCTGGTCACACAAAGTTTGACTCAGACTGGCACTTCGGTGTGTGGAAGCTGCGCTGGAGATCAAGTGATGTGGAAACTCTGCAGGAAGTTGCCCAATCAGTAATGAAATCGTCACGAAATGGACATAATATTCCCCAGTTGGTGCAAGATGACGACAAACTCATTAAGTTCACAGACTGGAAGACGTATTTAAAACCATATGTTAAGCCTTTAAAGATCCCTAGGAGTTATCATCATTTTGTAGTAGATTCTACTAAACCAGGAACAGTTTTGTGCAAGGAACTTTTGGACTCCCCCACTGTATTCATTAATCTACTGAAATGCGAAGATATCCTGCCCTCTGTGAATGATGTGCCAGTTGAAAAAGTGTCAGTAGGATTTGACCCATCACGGCAGTGGTATTTGTTTGATAACATTAGAGAATTCTGTAAGTCAGAATGCTCAAAGAACAGTACATGTCCGAAACCAGTTGTACCAAAGTCAGAAGTCAATGTTGATGAAACTAATGAGATGCCAAATCATCCCAGTAAGCGAAAAGGTCTACTGTTGAGATGAACCTTTACTATGACTATCAAACTACTGAAATGTGCGTCATTTTGCAAGTTTAATCTAAAATGAGTTAATTAAGGAAGAAACGGACAGGTATCACATGACCAAACACTCAATACACTGTAATATATAAATTGGTTGGACAATCCTTTTAACATGAAGTCACAAACCAAGGTCAACTAAATATTGTTTTTAATAATTACTGTTGATTGAAATAAGATATATATCCTTTCCAAGTCTTATGTCTGATTATTGTGAAAGATGAGACTATATTGATCAAGGATTATTAACCGATGAAATGATGATTTCACTTTGAGGTCAAATGCCAACTTCTTGAATATTCAAAACAGATGCAACCTCCTTTAAACATAAAGTAGGTTACCTGAAAGGATAAAATAATATTACAAAAACCAATGCAAATTTAAGAATCAATCGCACCTAAAGTTAAAAGAGTTCAAAAAAGTGAAAAATTGGACATTTTTCATGAGATCTGCATAAAAGGGTGTATGACAGGGTGTCATTCTAACCCCCCTTTACTTTTTGTTTTCCCTGGAAACATCTTTATTTTTTTTTTATTTGTAGCATGGATATAAGTTATTTTATATACCAATTTGAAAAAGAATTCATTAACAATTCTATTCGACTTTACAACCAATTTTTTTGCGAAGTTTTGCCTAAGTCAGTTGCAGGCATATTGTAAAAAAGGGTAGCCATTTTGAAAAAATATTTTTTTATTATAAACATTATGTCTAAAATATTTCAAAATATTCATTTATCATATTGTTCTCAGATAAATAAAAAAAAAAATATATGCATTTTTTGGCGGGTGCCTTAATGACTTCAAAGGGGGGTAACTCTTTTAAAGAATATTTTTAAAAATAGCCTGAAAACCTATTCTCAAATTTTGTTAGGTACACCCCAAAGAACAATATATGCGAAATTAAAATAAAACTCATTAACTACATTTATTTGGCCTCTAGTGTCCTTCTCTACCTTAAGTATGACCAACCAAATTTACTGTTGTTTTTCACTCCTTGATTAATTAAACAAGAGGCCCCGAAGGCCTGTATTGCTCACCTGGAAATGTTAGTAAAATTGAAGTTGGAATCGCTAGATGTTGCTGGTAGTGTACATGTATTACATGGTTAGTCAAGGGTTATATTTATGCAATTGGACAAAATCCTGTCATTCCTACAGGAAAAAAAGGATTTTGAAGAAATTGCTGTTGGACAAAATTCTGTTATTCCTACAAAAGAAGAATTTTCAAGAATTTGCTAAATTACCTCTATTGGGCCCCACTTCTCAGGCCCCAGGAGGGTCAGACACACCATTTACACAAAATTGATTTCCCTTCCGCATAGGATGCTACTGTTCAAATTTGGTCAAAATACCGGCATCCTAACGGAAGAAAAAAGGATATTAAAGCTATTCCTCTATATCCCTTATTTGGCCCTGCCTCACCGCCCCCAGTGGGGTCAGACACACCGTTTATACAAAATTGGTTCCCCCTCACCCAAGGATACTTCATACCAAATTTATATAAAATCCTGTCATTCCTACAGAAGGACAAGGATTTTGAAGAATTTGCTATGTTTCCTCTATTGGGCCCCACCCCTCTGCCCCTAAGGGGGCCACACCAATACCAAGATGCAAGGATGCTCCAGACTAAATAAGGATAAAATCCTTTAATCCCTACTGTAGAAGAAGGATTTTAAAGATTTCACCTCTATTTCCCCTATTCGGCCCCGCCCCTCTGCCCCCAAGGGGGCCACACCCACTGTTTATACAAAATTGAGTCCCCTTTGCCCAAGTATGCTTCAGACTAAATAAGGATGAAATCCTTTAATCCCTACTGTAGAAGGATTTTGAAGATTTTACCTCTATTTCTATTATTTGGCCCCGCCCCTCTGCCCCTAAGGGGTCACACCCACTGTTTATACAAAATTAAGTCCCCTTGGCCCAGGGATGCTCCAGACTAAGTTAGAATAAAATCCCTTAATCCCTACAGTAGAAGAAGGATTTTAAAGGTTTTACCTCTATTTCCATTGTTTGGCACTGCCCCTCTGCCCCCAGGGGGGCCACACCCACCGTTTATACAAAATTGAGTCTCCTTAGCCTAAGGATGCTCCAGACCAAATTTAGTCAAAATATACTTAGCCGTTCAGGACTAGTAGCATTGTTTTATTGATGGTTGTCTTGGTTTTAAATAATTTGTATTCCAATCTTAATTTGGTCTTATCAAGGGTTTTCTTTATCAATGTTTTGCTGTTAAACTTCTGATTATTTGACAATTGAAATTAGATATATTTGTGGGGTCCAAATATTGTGGTTTCCTAAAAAAACACACACATTTTGTTGGTACATGAATTTGTGGATTATAAGTACAGAGAATTGTTTTTCGTCAAACTTGTAATTACTTTGTGGACCTTTGAATTTGTGGAGGCAGATTACTCATGAAATCAACGAAATAAAAAAAAAGAAAACACAAAAATTAGTGATTTCTCAGTACATTTATACCTGCACTTGGCAAGGAAGAGTTCTATAAACAGTATACATTGTACTATGTGTATGATACAGTGTATTCAATACTGTTTATCATTTTCAGGTGGTTGTATTTAATAAATCATAGAAACGTTTTCTTTGATATTAACAATTCATATACCATCAGTTTTCAATTGAAACACAGGGTTTCTTGAACCAGTTACCTGTATGCTGAGGAAAATTATATAGAAAAATTGACAAGTATGTGAAGGAGAATGACATGTACCCTAAGAATATGAAAATAAAGACAATTTAATAAATTTAATGTGTCCTGTTTTTTTATCCAATTATTATATCGATCAATCAAATAATGATGAAGCCACCAAGTCAATTAAGAAGTGACATCAACATTCGTTCTGTTTAATTCTGTTTTTAGTAACAGTGACCTTGATATCAGTAAACCACGTGCACCTCCAACTTCAATGTAGGGGGGATGATAATACAGTGTATTAATCCCTGGATAGAAAGAAACAAAAGCTTCAGTTGCATATTAAAAAATAAAATTTTATTTCATTTATTTTAACATACACTTAAATTATATCACAAGGAATCTTCACACAAACACTTTCCCAAAGTCGAAGAACTCTATACAATTTTGTGGATACTGTAAAATCATAAATTTTCGGGGACATCAAATTTCGTTTGTTTCGTGGATAACAAAAATCCACGAAATTCAATACCCATGAAAACATATATGTAATTTCCTTGAAACAGGAAAGTATATGAAAAACGAAATTTTAACCCAACGAAAATAAGTGATTCTACAGTACGACAGCTCTTCTGTTCCAATGCAGTGGATCAGAATTAAAGAAATAATTTGAAAAATAGCAATAGTAATCATAATTTGATTAGGGATAATGTATCGTTCCTGGTTATATTTTTAAAACCAAAACATGAGGTGCAATATGTTATTGTCCAGGGTTTCAACCCAGCTACAACTACCCGGTACATAAAATTAGACACCACTTTACACTAATGAATGATGACGTGCTACCACAATAAATACAAGTAAGAGTGACCTCCCTTTTTCCTGGAGAGACTTCCATTGTTGATGGTACCATATTTAACTTAAATGCATGTTCTAATAATGTGGGCTCCACAAAACTTTTACTAACGAAGATTAAGGCAAAGTTTGACACAGTTTTGATGATTAATTACGTAACATATTTGACTATTAAAAGCTTCAAGTAGCATCTTAAGAGGAGTTTGGATTTCACCTTTCTGAAATGTGTGTTATTACAATTTTGCTAACAAGTTATTCAATTTTATCAATATGATAAAACTAATATCTTTCAATCTTTAAAAGAAATCAAAAGTGCTATATGTCACAACATGAAGCTATCACTTTCGGTATTGGTAAATCAGAACTTTTCTTTGCAAAGCTGTAGATTTTCTGTTCAGATTCAAATAAAGCGATTGAAAAATAAATCTTTGTTTTAGAATGAAGAGGGCCTGGGTGTTGGCATGCTGTCCTTATATGGGATACTGACTCTACTGAACATTGTGACTGCTCTTAACCAATGTTTTAAGGATTTTCATGTCTGACATGCAGGATAAATCTTTCAGACATAGCTCATCAAATCAGAAATCCTTTGCATTTCAATTTAATGATAATAAATATTGAATTATTTAACAAGTGGAAATAACAATAATCTATATTTTGCAGCTTCTGTACCAATATATTTTCCTTATGGGTTGTACACTATTCATTTGAGAATCCCTGAAGGTAAAAACATTTTCAATTTTTAGTTTTTTGGCATAGCAGTCAACTCATTCACCCCTGAAATTTCATAATGAACTATTCCAACCTTTGAATTGGAAGAGTTAAAATGTGTCTTCAGGAGTGAAGGTGTTAAGATATATACAACACTACAATATCATTATGATATTCCCAGGAAATGACTTCAATAACACCACTTTGATCGGCCATTTCTTGCTCTGATTAGCTTTAAGAGTTTTAAACACAAACGTTCAAAATCAAATTTGTATAAAACTTCATATCTGAAAACTTCATTATGAATCTCTCTACAAATATTTGAGTTATGAATTTCAAGTGATTTTAAATTCACTAGATTTGATTTATTCATTAACTCAAAAGGTCATCGGCCCTTGAACCACTCAGCAGCTGTGATGATAGCTGTTGTCATGACAACTGCTGAACACGTGTACAAAAGAGTTCACTGACCGAAGCCACGGTTGGTTTAAAAGAGAAAATGCTCATCTTGTATATCTGGAGCTTTGAAAGGTATTGGACCAGTAAAGTGCTCTACTCGCAGTTTGGCATTGTATATGCAGTCATTAACACTGACTCCTTTATAGGAGGAGCCCACCAAACTCAAAGGTAAATTGTTGTCCTTGATGTACTTGAAAATCCTCTCCACACGTTCATTATGGCCGACCAAATACTGGGGGATGCAGTCCTAGAAAAGGAAAACATCGCTTTTAGACAAACAAATAAAAAAAAGAATTGGATGCTACAAATGATTTTTTTCATAAAACTTTTCCAGTTTAAAGTTCAATTTGAAATGAATGAGGTAAATAAAATTTGTTTTGATATTTCTATACCACTTATAAAAAAATAAAAATAAAGGATATCTGATAGTTTTAGCAGAATGAGAATATCCAATTTTTGTAGTCTCAGTATGTTGACTGACTTTTTTATTGAGAATGTCAAATTTCGAGGATTTATGTACAAAATTTTCTTGTGAAAAATTAAGAGTTGTCAAATTAAAAATGTTTCCGAACAAACTTACTGCGTGTACCATCATGTCAATTTTCACAGGTGCTTCAATGATGCCTAGATGCTTGGATATCACTTCTGTCGCTAGTCTGGCAACTCTGCTTGGATCTAATGATCCACCCAGTCTCTCCTTTACCAGTTCATCATACCATGCTCCACCCATCATCACCTGTCAGTGTAGGAACAAGTCTCCGTCAAAATGAATTACCACTTTCTTGTCATTTACCTAACCCTTTCACCACTGTAAAGCATAATGGGCTCATTCATATCAATGCATGGTAGAGTCTACTAAAGTTACATAGGGATGAAAGGGTTAAGATAATACTGAATTCTGTGAAAGGTCTTTTCCTTTTTGAAATTATGCGTGAGGAAATTCATATTGCCTTGCACTCAACAAACATACACGTCTTACGTCGTGTATAAATGATTGCGAATTACATGTACATAAAAATAAACAACACACTAAATAAAAGCTATCTTATGTATATGCCTGCATTGTACCTAACTATGAGCCGTGTAGCAGAGTAAATTGTCTCTGCCTTTTTCATTACTATGGTAATACCGAAGAAATAATAATGTCTGATCAATGTTTACATTCGTATTTCAAATGTGTCAACTAGTCCAAATCACTATTCACAAAAGATCTAGATCATTCCTACATTTTTTAGGTACGTGGAACTCTTCAAAAAGGAGATACATGTCACAGTAAGGTGGCATATACAGCCTTAAGATTAGTCCAAATATGCCACGAAATTTTAAATCAACTGTACACTGGGAATCTTTTATCCAGTGAAATATTTTTTCCTTCACCGGTGAAAACCTTACTCAGACAGTGAACAATTTGCCCTCCACATTTAATTACTACATTTGTATGTAGGGTATGTTGTTAACCGATATTGGGTGTCCTGATAAATTCACTGTATTGCAAAAAGGCATAAGTTAGACTGCAGCAGAAATGTTCTGATAAACAGTAGCTTTATGATATGTCCTAACAAGGAAATGTATTGCAAAGCAAACCATGGTCCCCTACAAGCAATGATTCTTTATTCACCGGTATGTAAACCTATGTAAGGGTCAACCTAGCTACAGTAAAAATGTATCCTGGTATATAATAGCCCGAGTTTCCTCTAGCCCTGACGCCAGACTTAGACCTTTTGACAGATGGATGTCGGATACCAGGAAACGATCTATCAAAATGTTTAAGTCTGGTGTCGGGGCCAGAGGAAACTTGGACTAGGTATCTAATAGGGAAATTCTTTCTAATGATTGCAGTCGAAGGTAAAAAAAAAATATCACAGTGAAGTGCTTTTGTACAGCAAAATCTGTCATCTTAGGATATACTTGCATACCAAATTTATCGAAAACTGCACTCTGCCATAGTAAGATATACCTGCATACTCAGTACTAAACTTAGTTAATCCTGGTGAAATAACAGATCCACTCTAGACTAAACATTTCAAAAATTAAGGTCAAAGGTCAAAGCATAGGTCATTGTGACCTTCTTCTCATACTCTGCACTCTACCATTCAAAGTTGTACTTCCATACAAAATCTGGTTACTCCAGGTAAAAAAGTCTAGGAGACATGCCCTGGACAAACTATTTAAATGATAAAGGTCAAGTTCAAAGCATAGGTCACAGCAACTCACTTCTTGTTCTCTGCACTCTGCCAGACAAAGAAAAACTTGCATACCAAATTTGGTTATTACAGTTAAGAGTGTATGCTCCAGACAAACTTTTTTAATGATTAAGTTCAAAAGTCTAAGCATGAGTCATAGTAACCTACTTCCCATACTCTACACTCTGCCAGCCAAAGAGGAACTTGCACACCAAATATGGATAACCCATGTGAAATAATATAGAAGATATGCCCTGGACAATTGTTTTCTCAAAATTTAAGGTCGTAGGTCAAAGCATTGATCACAGTGACCTGCTTCTCATTACCTGCACTCTGCCATCCCAAGATGTGCTTACATGTAAATACCGGGTTACTCCAGGTGAAAAAAGGAATGAAGATATGCCCGAGACAATCTTTTCGGATGGATGAAGGGATGGACAAAATGCAAACTTATAGTCCCCATCCACCAACCCCTACCCCGGAAACCGTTGGGGGACAATGTGGGTGTGTAGAGCTCGCAATTGTACAAGCTACCAAAAATCCCCCTAGCACCAGCCCTTAACAAACATCCCTATGGATGGAAACTCACCGTAAATCTAGAAACTGGTTTATCTGGTATGTTTGAGTCGTGTTCTGGAAAGGTACACGAGTCGTACACCACTCCCAGTATAGGTCTATCTTCACAGGACGGTAGTAGGTGGCCAAAACCCTGAGGATCAGAATAGTCAGAAGATATATCCATGCAGTCTCCTTATTTGTTACATTCAGGGTTGAAACTTTCTTCTAAAGCCATTTTCTTGGATTTTGCTGCAATATCATGATGCTTAATTAGGGGTTCACTTATAACAACACAAATGTATATAAATGTTATAGCATATTTTATTTAATAATATTTGTTATTCTTTTATCACCCTATGGCCACTTGCTGAAGTGTTAATCCACGTACTGCTCTTTACATTACCTGTCAGCCATCAATGTAGATAAGCATTTATTAAGCAATTATGTTACCTTGAAATACAAAAGTGATCTATACAATTGAGTCTATTGAAGTTACATAGGGGTGAAATGGTTAAACATAAGGTAAATAGGTGGCAGCCACCAGATAAGATATTTTCAATTACCATGGTAATTATCTGATGACCACAATATTATTGTGTGTTATGCGAGTTAAATATATGTTACATGATTTTACTAAATATCTATCGGCAATGTACCTACAGGAAATTTAATAAAATACAATAACCAACAATTTCTGGAATCAAGCTTTCAGACTTGACCATTCATCAAAAAGTGAATGGTCTTTATTTAACCTTATGGCACATCCATATTTCAAAACTTAAGTTTACACACAAAGAGTGAGTTATCTTCAGTAAGACCCATGTCTCTGATATTGAAAATGTCACAATACCACAACAGCAGATGGGATCACTTTAATATTATGTCATAATCTATAGCAACATCACACCACTCGGGGAAAATATGAGATGTACTTCGGGTGTGATGTTTGTGGTAGATTCCCAGAATTTGTTTCCAATACATATCTTACCAGTCCACATGCAGGGCAATATAGATGGCCAGTCATGAAGTGATTTTTCTACCTCTGTTGAACCGAGACTGTACCTTGCGACTTTGTGAAAATATCACACACAAAAAGCATAACTTAGGGAAAAAAACTCATTTTTGAAATGATTTAAAAAAAAAAAATCTAGGGGAAGAGGCTTTAGCTTTGTTAGGCCCCAAATGCACTGAAAAAAAAATCACTGATATATGACCTGAAATGTGGTATATGGTCTTTTATGTTCCAACTGTGTCACCGCTGTATAGGTGGGGAAAACAGGACTGGCATTGCAAGAGAGAATAAAATACACATTGTGGAAATTTGACTTAAGGGGGATAACCCAATGGCATGTCAACACTAGCTTTCAGATAATAATTCCTGAATTATGATGTAAAGATTATTACCATTCTGCATCAGAATGGTGACCTATTTACCTTTACTGGAGATTCTATTGGATACTCAAGATTCACAACAATAACAGACACTGCAGGGATCGCCTCTAGTTCCTCTGCCAATTCACTGTGTTCTTCAGGCAAAATGTCAGCTAAATCTGAAACAAACACCATGAAGTCTGAAGATAAAAACAACCTGTTCTTTTATCATCTTTAATATTATTTTTTATTAACTGAATACAAAAGCTTGAAACACACACTGAAAAAATAATGTGCAAACTCCTGTTATTCTGTACGGAAAACTTGAATTTGTGCAACGTAGATTTAAGGAAAAGTCATTTGAACACCCAAATAAAGTCGGATCACTACTGTTGCATCAACAGACAAGAGTTGAAAACTATACATTATATATAATAAGGTTCATTCTTTTATCATAATAAGATTTCAAGCAAGTTTCATGCAGTTTTGTCAATCGTATAGTAAAAATCACAAGAATAAATTACTTTGACATTTTGATTTCAATAATGAACCCATTTTATTGATTAAAGAATTTGGAATTGATAATCAGAATCGAAAGGGCAAACCAATCAATTTCAATTATAATCCATCATATGCCCGTCAGTATATGTTTCTGACCTAGAACTTACCTGCAGCGTATATAGAACTGAAAACGTGGTCTGCAGTTATCTCCCCTTCCTCACTAGTCACCTGTCAATATATTGTACACACAACTTACTGTATTTAAAACATAAATAAAATGTGTATATATCCCTCGAGACAAAATGACCATATAAAATGACATCTTTTGAGTTTTTTCAGATGAAATCATTTGATCTGAGAATATAGGAATAGTTTAGCAAATTCACTGGTTGAAAGTACTAAATTTTAGGGTCCAAAATGGGGAGTCTCCCTCCTAAATAGGGAGAGTTGGCAAGTATGATATGTATTTGTAAAACTTAACCCATGGGCATGAACAGGGTGTGGTATTGTATCAGCAAAGTTTCATGAAATTGGGATGAAAACTGCAGAAGGATTCTCCAGACAATATTTCGTCTACAGAAGGGTGGACAGACAGCTGACAGACAGAGTCCAGTATACCTGACGTTATCACACAGGTATAAAATACCTTACCAATGCTGCACCATCTTTGAAGGTCAGTTGTGTACAAGGACTATTCAGATGTAATTCTGCTGGCATGTGTGGTCTGCTCAGGTGTTCGACCAATGTATCGGGCAATTGCTGACAGCCCCCTCTTAGTGACCAAACAGACCATTTTTTCATGAATTCTAATAAAGGTGAAGGATTGGGTGGCTCTGAAACTGTAACAAGACGTTCCAATAAATTTTAATTGCACATGCAGTAAAACCTGGATATAATGGCCCTCGTTTCATTTGGAACCTCTGTTATACATATTTCTATGTTTTTATTAACAATACCCCTTACGTTTCCCACAATTTATCTCCAAACTCCTTTATAACGCCAAAGTTTCTCTAGACAAATGGTGGCAGTATAACAAGGTTTTACTTTACTATCATTATCCAGTTTAAGCCTTAACCAGTATTACGAAAGACATTTAGAGTAAGAACTTCATTTAATTTATGTGCTCTGACATCTATTCTACTTTTATCGAAATTAGATACAAAACACAGTGTGACCTAACAATAAGTTGAACATGATAAGTGAACAGCTTTACCACCTTTGTACTGTGTAATCTATATATTTACCTTGAAAGATACGGCCAAACCCATTCTTCCTTTGTTCCCAATTATACAAATCTACCAACGTAGATCTTATGCTGAGCGTCTTTGAATCTCCTGCATAAATTCCTCTAACAAATGCGTCACCCAAATAATCTGCTATCTGCAAATAGAAAAGAAAAACTGTTCAAGAATAGTTGAATGATCGAGAAGACACCATAAGAGCCTAAGAGGTCCAGGACTGTCATTTCTTCCTCGATTTGTTTCTTTTTTATTTTATTTTAATGTGTTAGAACTTTGCAATCTTAAGAGTAGGTCAATATACGATACATATCACGATACATATAGTAACAGTAGAAGCAAAGAGAAAAGAAATGTTGCAAGTTTTCATGGCAACATTACAACTAGAAATAGACTTGGCCCATAATGGGCATGGCTTTAAAGTTTCACACAATTCATGTCTTTCGATGTGCTGAGCTGGAGCTGTCACTCGCCATGTTGGAACCGATATGAGAAGACTAAATTCAGACACAACAAAATATGAAAAATATCGTAGGTGTATTGTAACCTACCAAAAACATCTGTATTGTACCGTATTCAAAAAATTGCAATATATCATCGCACGATATATCGGTGCAGCCCTAGGATCACATGTCAACTGCCTCAACCACAGCAGAACTATAAATTTCATAACTGTACTGAGCAGGGGATTTCAAAGGTTAAACCACAAATGATAGGTTATAGCTATATCAAACAAGATTATAAAACTTCTGAGACAAGATAATGGAACCAAGACTATTTCTTGTGTAAATAACATACAAATTGTTCTCCTTTTTCATTAGGACTTCTTAACAAAATTGCTATGACATATGGTACAGTATTAGCTTTTTTCATTTTGTTTTAGATAAAAGCTTAACAGAACATAAATTGTATAAATAACATCCCTATTTGTTCCTGTTCCCGATCGCGCGCGAAGGGACAGAATATATTGTTGATTTGTAAAAATAAGACAGACAAAAACAAACAACCTTATTATCACTTTCATGTTTTTTTTATAATATTGCAGCTCTCCAAAATGATTTATATCAGGCACCTGATTCAAAATAAAATACTTAACATACCTCTTGTCCAAATCGCCTTGTCAAAAACGAGTGTATACTTTCATCTTCCGTTCCTTTGGCAGTTATTATATCTTGCCAAAAGCTCCATATCAACCTTTTCGTGAAAGGTGGAACCACGTTAAATACTGGCTTCAGACCTTAAAACAAAGACATATAAGAATGAGGTTAGTGTGGCCCAACAATTCGTAAAACAGAAAATGGAAGCAACTGCTTCCTTCCTTTTTGTATTTTTCCTTTCCTTTCCATCAGAGCTGGGATTTAAATGTGTACACCATTTGGTATCCCCTCCTGAAACCTAGAAGGTGAATGTAAACATACCTCCACACATAATTTGATGTTGTCCTCCACCCCCCACCCCCCATTGATTTATAACATTTGTAAGGATTATGTCACTGTGATCCGACACTCTATATATATCACAGATAAATGTGTTTCCAATGAGGGAAACCGTGTACGTGCCTGAAACGGGACTGAACTATTTTGCTCAAATTATCTTTCCCTTTTTATGTATCGAATTAACTCAGAAAAGCATTCATCTGATTCAGACACACCTGTTACAATCATTACACACACCCTGCAGTAACTAGGAGATCATTGCAGACCACAGGATGTAGATTATTACCGTAGTTTGTGCAAGTTCGGATTTGAAAGCGGGAGTTTTTATGGAGAATAAGATTGGTAAATTTTGGTCCTAAAGAGGGAGTGTCCCTCCTAATGAGGGAGGGTTGACAGCTATGCAGATGAGGACTAGGGATTATTTAAGGATTATTCCACTTTGATCTGAAATCATCTGACACTTTGTCCAAGCTTAGTTGACCCACTTGACCTACACTTTTGTAGCTTGGCCTCAATACATGATCAAATTGCTTTTCAATCTTATATTTATCACATAATATACTGTTATCCAGTGAATACACCATGTAATATGACCTATCATCAGCCCTGTATTTGGGTGTAAGTTTCACACCTAGGGCAAGTACAAGACGTCAAAGACTTACACACTGGAGTCAAAATGACGGCTTTTTACATTTCAAGGTTGCATGAAAATTGTTGTTTTACATGAATAAATGCCACAAATCTTGATTATGCGATAAAAAGGATCTTACACACGTTATCATTTCATATGAAATTTGTCACAAATTTTTCATTTTAGAATTCTTATGACTCGTTTTATAAATCTCATATGAAATGGAAACTCATGTAAGATCCTGTATATATGCATGCATATAAAGAGCCCTACCATTTGTTATGACTGTCACAACATAAATCAGAAACAAAAGGCTGAATCAAAAAACAAATATTAGATCACAATACACAGGCATATTGTATCGTATCACAATACAGAAATGGTATCGCAAATCTTGTTTTTTGGTCTGCTTTTAAAAAGCTTATATTTTTGTCACTGTAAAGTAAGTGAGGATAGACCAAGATTTGAACCCCGGACTTCAGATTGTCATACACAGTAATATTGAACTAACCAATTGAGCTATGTTGTCTACTATTGCTTTAACTGAGTGAGCTACTTTGTCGTTGAAAGTGTTGTGCCCAAACTTTTCTATTTATCTCCAAACGGCAGATATTTTGGTCGATAATAATAATAATTCAAGGTTCCTATATACCGCTTAATCACAATCTAGTTCGTAGGTTGTCTCAAAGTGGTTCATAAATTATTATCCATGGTTATAGGGCCTTTGCATCCAGCAAATATATTTCTCAACTCCATGGGGAGCACACAGCCGGTGCTGCCATTTCATCGCTCACAGCTAGCATTCAACAATTCTATCACTACCCAACCACATACTCATTTACAGCTGTGTAGACTGGAACAAGCGGAGTAAAGTATGTTGCTCTGACAAAGAAACAACACAGTGCCATGCCTGCAACCCTTCGGTCATGAGCCCGGCGTCCTACCATTAAACTTCTGTGCCTCCTATGTATATAGGATAAAACATAGTGCACTGTACAGCGGAACAGGGATTATGAACCCTTTTACCCCAATGTAACGTTTGTAGACTCTATACCATGCATTGATCTGGATGAGTCAATTATGGTCTACAGTGGTGAAAGGGTTAAATTGAACACCTTTTTCCTATGATCATATATCAGGATACAGGATAAGTATCACAATACATTCCTTCTATATTGCAATAAATTATATACATAATGTACACTCCAGATATATAGCGACATCGATATGCCTACCATATACTGACGAACATGTCTACTTCAGAAGGCTGATTTTCTGATATAAAACAAGAAATTGTTTTTTGTCATAAACATTAAACCATGGCCCCATAATAGTTACTAATGAACATTATTTACTTACTTTTTGGAAGTTCATGGAGGGTCTGATCCTTGTAGATAAAGCGAGTATCTACTTCACTTCCCTTCAATGCAACGATGATATCCTTGTGCAAACCAAGCCGTAAAGCCTTGAAATAACAGAAGATGATATATCTGCAGTTTGATTACAGATTGTCTTGGACCTTGCACTTTTTACTATTGTAAATTAAAAGATGTGTAATTTATTTAGATATCTTCCTGTGTTTAGTTTAATAAAAACATGTTGTCTTTTTCAACAAAGCAGGTACATATATACTACATAGGTGTCCCGCAAATCAGAATAAACATTTCAAATTGATTTTGGAAATATGTCTGTTTTATATAACATGGCTATTTTTTCAGTATCAAGGGGTTGTAAACTTTGCATAAATACCACTACCGGAAATTTAAAAGAAACTGTTTTGTGATAGAATGAAAAAACATTTTCAGAATTAGTTTATGCCCTTATGTAGTCCGAATTATTCTGGCGTTTTATCGACTTTTTTTTATATCGGTCAGACCGATATAAAAAAAGTTGATAAATGTCAGAATAATTCGGACTAGCCCTTAGGTAGCCGTTTTTTTATTACACTGCTGTAAACCGTCATGCTATTTAAGGATTGAAATGCATCTTTTAAACATCATTTAAGTTCTGTTAAGGCCAACCAAAAATATTTTGTGTTTCCGGTTACCCTACCTTCCCCAATTTCTTGTGCCTACCCTAAACTTTTAAGGCAATTTTCAAAGAAGCACTGTTAAGGTCTAGATCACTCTCCTATATAAACCATATACATTTATTTGTTAAAATAACATTTGTTACCTACCTACCTACCCTACATTTTTCCAACATGTTACAGGAAACACATATATTTATTATGTCTGGCCCAAGACATATTTTCCAAAATGGGCTACCATGCATTATGGAATTTGTTAGAAATTTAAGGAACTGCATTGTATACAATCATAATAAATTGTTAAAAGATGAATTTCAATCTTTATATTTACATTCTAGATGAACAACAAAGACAAAATTATTTGAATCTATCTTTTTCTAGGTCTCATTTAGTTCAAAATACATTTGGAACATTATATTTTACCAATTTACCACTGAGCTACCTGGTCAAAGGAAGTGTTCTGGCCTACCTGTACCTCAGTTACATCTGAAGTAAAATAGGCGAGTTTACTGAATACAAAAAAAAACAGAGTGCTGTGGGACGGATCCTTAATGTTTTTCTCCTTAATTACCATGGAGTTATTCTATTAAAGGCAGAACGGAGTAGCATCAAATTAATATTAATCCAACATAGCCCATTTTGTATGCTGGCTTACACATAGGTTTTGCAAACAAACATATAAATCCTTTTGATTAATTTTTTGCTTGACAAAATTAATTTCATATTTACTTACAAGATCCACTGAATTTACACTTGAGTTATTTGTTGTAGCACGAAAGCTCCGAGGACCATGCTCAAACACAGTATTGTCTTGAAATTTTGTTGAATGTAGCCAACCACCAAATCTATCAGAAGCTTCCAACAGGACCACCTAAAAATAAAACACATGAAAATACTTCTCATTGCTTTCCAATTAAAGGGACGTTACGGTGAAGCATATTTTTTTTTTCAAATACTTCATAAACATATCAAGTGAGTCTCCTCATGGAAAATAACGGTCAGTTTGGCTGTTTATATATTCATATAAATGAGTAATTTTAATATAAGTATCATGTTTTCTACCTGTCTGACCAACAATTTGCTGTGGGATTCCCCCTGTATAACAGCTACTAATGCCTGCACATATATAGCACGCCATTTTATTGTAAACAAAATGACTGGCAGTGGGAAGTGTGGCTATGTTTCAAAATAAGTCAAGTGTTAGTTTTTGCTGTTTCAGAACTATTGCAATCAAATTAAAATATTACTGGGCAATAGCAATGCGTTTCATCATATTACCACGGACTTAGATAACAAAACTAATATAATTCCGTGATATTACTGAATATTGCAGCCCGAGTTTCCTCTGGCCCTGACACCAGACTTAGACATTTTGACAGATAGGTGCATAGGTGGTATAGGTGTCTAGCTGTCAAACTGTCTAAGTCTGGTGTCAGGGCGAGAAGAAACTCGGGCTATGAATATTGATCTCCTGCTAATACTAATGATATTGAAGCCAGAGGAAACCCGGGCTATATTTGCCGGTACCGGGGCCCGAGTTTCCTCTGGACCTGACACCAGATTTAGACATTTGACATATAGAATGTAGATGTCTGGTGTGGGGCCGGTGCCCCAGTACATGTAGAAAAGCAATTTATTTACCTTAGAAAACTTTGAATGAGTTCCTTCTTGTAATGCGTAGAAGGCAGATGACAAACCACTTATTCCTCCTCCTAAAATCACTGCCTTTGCCATAGTTTCAGCAGAAAGTTCTATAGCACAATCGTACACATTTATATAACTTGCATCGTGGTGGAAAACTTACACACAACCAATTTTACCTCCGTCATTGAAGAGCTCAAACCAAAATTGGGTGCTGCTTGATTTGGCAACCGCGCACTCAAACGGCACACTAAGTTATATATTCATTGTGGGAACTTTCTAGTAATTTTAAGTAATTTCATTATTATTTAGGTTGTTTATAATGAATCTACATTCATGCAAGTGCGGAAGAAAATACTCGTACTGACGATGGCCATTGTGCCACAGGTACTTGCCTCGTCTGTCAGTACACCTATATACTATACATATTATGGATGTATTGGCAGACGAATGCCAGTCGTTTCGGTAACATGTCATTTCGGGAGTCCCGAAGTCGTTTCGGGACTCAATCAAGTCGTTTCGGGACATATACAATTTTCACGTATAAATAACATTTCGCTCCCGTTTCATAAAAAGTCATGTAAATAAACAAGTATGGTTTTAGTCTATGACCTGTATCACGACCTACCTGTGCTTTGGACCACTGTATTGAATAACATTTTGTATATTGTCTTTTTAGTTTATTCACGGAATTAGATTAGTCCGTGGTTTATTAAATCTAATTTAACTATGAAAAACTTTTGTTAATAGGAGTATGTTGTTATGGACCTGAGCAAGTAATATTAACCGAGACGAAGTCAAAGTTAAGCCAATTTTCGCAGGTTCATTTAACCACATATATATATATAAACCTCAACAAATGTCTATAATTGATAAATATTGTATGTGTACTATAACTATATTATGTTATTTGTATTAAATTGTATACCTTAATACTGTTATGTTTGACTTTCTTAACAGCTTTATCTTTGTCGAAATGCGAGGTTATTGTAAAATAACAGGTGTATACACATCAAAAACTTCTCAAGTTGACTGTTTAATATATGTATATATATTTAAAGTGTGTGATCCGCATAAGTGATTAAATGTTATTTTTAGTGACGCGGTTCATGCCATTTTCCTGTAATGCAGTTGGCACCCACGCATATTGCCTATGAACCGCATCTCAAAGTAGTTGTGACCTTTCGTTAAAGGATAACGTTAGCGCAACATGTGTTTTTATGCTGAATCGAGTTGACCCTATTTTCAAGGATAACGTCAAATAAACTGAGTGAAGGGAATGCTTGCCAACTCTCCCTATTTAGGAGGGAGACTCCCGACTTTGGACCCTAAAATTAAGCATTTTCAACTAGTAAATTTGCTATACTATTCTTATCTTCTGATATCTATTGAGTTCATCTGAAAGAACAACTAAAAATATGTCATTTTAAAGGGTTATTTTGTCTCTGTGGGGAATATTTTGAGCGTGCAAAGTCTCCCTCCCCCGCGGAAATTTCAAGAAATTGGCAAGTATACTATGACAAGTCAGAAACTACAAACAGTGACGGGGTTTAACATATCTAGTGATACAACGGTGTAACAGGACTGGACTCTGCCTCTGTCCAAGTCCCATTGTCAACTCAGGTTCAATTTGGTTTCCCTCAGGTTCTTCTGTTTAATGCAGTACTCTTAACCCAAACACTTAATCCACGAGAATGCACAATTCCTCCACGTCATTAGCAGAAGACCGCTTAAAAGATTCCCTATTACATAATAATAATAACAATAATAATAATAATAATAATAATTCGAGGTTCTTATATACCGTTTTATCACAACCTAGTTCGTAGGTTGTCTCAAAGCAGTTCATAAACGTGCCGTGACTCGAACACGCAACCCGGCCTTCGTTCATGAGCACTAGACTACCGTGCCTCCTATAACACATGCAGTCAACTGAACAGCGATAGCATAGAGTTGATTATTACTCGTTCCCGTTGGGTTAAACAGCCAGAGCTGTGTCCAAGTTAGAGTTACAAACGTTCTCATTATATTCTAAAATGCATGTTCAGTAAATGTTGTATTGGTAATCTTCATAATTTACAATAATTAGACGTAGTATATGTTTTATCATTCTTCATTCTTTATTAAAACATACAGTATTCTATACTTGTATTTCATTACAGGAATAATATTCTTCAAAATAAAGATATAATTAGATCTATATATACTAATTGTGTTTTATTACACTAATTACCAAAATAATCCACGATCAATGAAGTAACAGAAGAAGCAACTCTGTATCATCCCGGTTTCAAAACCAGCCACAAGATTATATATGTCACTGTGGAAATGTTGTCACATTTGCGATTGCTATATTTGAAGTCACTCGAGGTCATTGTCAAAGTACGTGCATCAAACATTGGTAAGCCCGTTCTTATGACATACCAATAAGGATCCCCCTACCTCTGCCCAAACTGTACATACCTGTTGTGAAAAAAATCTGGCATGACAATAGCTTTGATCAATCATTTCCGAACAGAAACCATAACTTGCGAGACTTTTATTGAAGGTGAAATACATAAAATATATCCAACAACGGTTTTCTGAGTGAAACACTGGAATTCAGATTATATACTATCGCTCTTACCAATTGAGCTACCTAGTTTAAGGGGAGTGTTCGGGCCCGATTGTGTTAGTTATATTAAAATAGAAGTTAAAGGGGGTTACTGTACAAAAAAACACAGTGCACTGGGACATGGATCCTTAAGCGAGGTTTATCGCGTAGCAACCTTACGGTCTGTGGTCGGTGTCTGTTAAGACAACGTTACATCAGATTTTTTTTTATAATTTCAAGTTGAGAACGTCAAATATTGGTATCTGCATGTCTACATGCTTTCTGACATGCACGGTTACGCCCCCTTGATGCCTGTCGCTTGCGAGCTTGGCTAACGCGGTCGCCTCTTCAAGCCTTGACCACGGAATTAGATTGCTATCTAAGTCCGTGCCTTGACCGAGCATTGAAGCAACTACAAATTACAGACAAATTTGTATTAAAATGCGCGGGGCAATGGCCTTATAACAAAATAGATGGAAAAAAACGTAAATAAATTTTGAACAAAGGAAAATTAAAATAACGGCCAGGTGGAAGCTGAAATCTATGCTTGGATGATATAGGTAAATTGTTGTTGGCGAAATTGGTCCGTGGTTGTGGACTTGTGGTAAATTGACTGTGGTTGTGGTAAATTGACTGTGGTTGTGGGTTGTGGACTTGTGGTAACTTGACTGTGGTTGTGGACTTGTGGTAACTTGACTGTGGTTGTGGACTTGTGGTAAATTGACTGTGGCTGTGGACTTGTGGTAAATTGACTGTGGTTGTAGACTTGTGGTAACTTGACTGTGGTTGTGGACTTGTGGTAACTTGACTGTGGTTGTGGTAAATTGACTGTGGTTGTGGGCTTGTGGTAAATTGACTGTGGTTGTGGACTTGTGGTAAATTGACTGTGGCTGTGGACTTGGTTGTATAAAAGGTTGTATAAAGTTTTGTGGTAAATTGTCAGTGGTTGTGGACTTGTGGTAAATTGACTGTGGTTGTGGACTTGTGGTAAATTGACTGTGGTTGTGCTGCCACACGACGTGAAGGTGGACGGAGCTGCCTCACATTCGACCAGTAATCAAAACTAAGTAAAAGTAGAAATAAATAGAAAAAAAAGAGACATTTTACTTCATGATTAATGTTGATATGGTGATGATAATGAACATGAGTGAGGCCGAAACGGTCAAATCAACGGAAACATGATAGAGCTCAGCACGGCCTACAAGGCAAGAATGGTTTGTTGTCATATATATAAAGTTGCCCACAAAAGATTGAAAACTCGTCGCACGAATCCTTTCCAAGGAATTCCGCCTAATCAACCTAACGCGAGTCACGACATGACAAGCAGATTTGAGTTTCATAGTCGTCTGGGGTTACGCTCACTTACGCTCTCTGTACTCCTGTGGGAATATGAAGGTACGAAGCTAGTTATTTGATTGGTCTCAGGTAAAGATACATATACCTATCCGTTGAAGATTACAAACGAGCGTTAGATGTACATGTCAAAGGATCAAACTGGCCTTCCTCGTCTCATCCATAAAGTAGCGCACACTGAGCTTTCGATTTTGTCATGACATATTAGGGGTGCAGAGAACGTAAGTGAGTGTGGCCCTTGAGTATCGAGGATGAGATGTCGATCGCAAAACTTTGAGTCATATAATTGGCCATCGTAGGAAATAATGCACTTTTAATCAAACAATGAATATCGAACAACTCTTGTTTCTTCATTTTGTTGCTACCTCTGAAGATCGTGCAGTGCCCGATATACCAGTCTTTTGTCTTCTGTCCAACTAGGTCATGTAAATGGCGGGGAAACTACGTCACACGTGTCCCCGGCCTGATGTATGATTGTACAATTACACCGTCTTATCTTTCACCAGGAAAATCTATCCGCACTTAAATTCATACATCTGGCATACATGATATAACACCTATACGATTTATCCTTTTCCCGTTTTGACCACATTCAAAAACTGCACTAGCGTTCCGACAAGTACACATTTGAGAATCAAAGTACATGTCTCTTTTACAAGATTGTGTCATCAGTACGGACCCCGTGACACATTTATGGTAAACCCCACAGCTCCAGGAGTCCGGGAACATCCTCCCTGCTGCCTCGTTCGTACAACTATGTGGGGGCTCTGTAAAACAAAATGAGATAACTCTATTTTTGATATGTGTTGAATATATGATTTAGGTTTCGAAAAAAGAGGGTAGGCAAAAGGTTAAATAGATATTAAAATCAACAGATTATAAACAGAACACACACATATTTCTTGATTTTGTCACGTAAAAAACGTATGACTTATTAATGAAACATCATGCCCAAAAAGTTATAATGAAAAATAAAATTTGTTGAAAATAAAAAAATAAAAAACTACTTCTGCCAAAATCTTTCTAGAGTAGATAAAATGCTGTATAATGTTAAAATACGTGCACTACAACAACGACTCAGTTTTGCACATGCGCTCCGAGATATATGACGAACCTGACAAAAATAGACTGTTAGTTGGAATGGAAGACTCTTTCAATCCATATTTTGTGTATGAAGGGTATGGGCGGCACATCAGCCTTGACATCGATCTCAAAGTAAAATCCATGACAACACCAGAACACTCAATCGACCAGCCCTCTTCGGTACTATACAGTGATATGCACGTGAGATTTACGTCATATACAATCGTCACTTTGTTGTCATGACAACCCATCAGTATAACAGGGGCCGGATAACATCCAGAGCGCAGAGAACAGGTCACTCCATACGACACATTCTCGCCGAAATCTCCCATATCGCGGGACAATTGAATGGACGTTTCGGCAATAACATCTGTGGAAATCAAACGTTTTTTACTGTAACAATTAGAGAACAATCAATACATATTTATGATAACACTGTTATGCTGGTTGTCATTTTTGTTGGGGGTACATTGATAGGACGGTATTGCCGAGTGAACACAAGGGGCAAAGTGTCTTTAACACATAGGGATTGAATGACTTTTTTTTAAAGATTATTGAGTAGTTCTTGCAAGTAACATATAATAGAAAATGTGTTTGAACATTGAAAAAACGTTAATCCCTCTATAACATTCTAAATTTACAGCTAGTAATGATTCTATCAATTTGATTCCCTAATATTTGCCATATTGAAATATCTGCATCAGATACTGCAATCGTTTCTGTATCAGTGCAGACGAAAATCTTTAAACATCCTAGCATATAAATGTTTGCTTCTTGCAACACCCTCAAGTCACGCAAGGCGGGAGCAGGCCAACGTGACACCGATATCATTGCGTTTATAGCCCTTATGAACGCAATATCTTTCGGTATTGTTTATGGAAGGGACCATATAAGACTGTAATGGCTTAAGTACAATATGTGATAGAAAATAGTCATTGTCTAACAGAGAACTTCAATCACGCGCCGAATGTGTTAGAAATCGTATAATCTTATATTTTTCAAGCTATGTATATGACAATGTTTTAGTTTTACCGAAGAAAAGACTGCTTTAATAAAAGCAAATTAGACAAACTCTAGTGTTAGCTGGCATTGAATTAAGTGTGAATTGCTTATTTTGTGTACATTTTCCGGGGAAAATTAAAACTCTTGCATTGACTTACATCGTATTAAATACAATAGTCAATAGATAAATGACAGTTGAAGATTATTAATTCAGGCATTTTTCTCCTATAGTTTTTCATACCTTACCTTTTACATCGATACCAATACTGTGTTCCACGTCATCAATTGTGATGCCCACGTGGTACTTTACAGCTCCGGCACACTTGACAGTGCTTCTGGTTAATATCACTTTGTTTCCAAGGTCGCCAATTTTTATGGTCCAAAGTCTCTTACGATATGTGGAATTTGCTACTAATTTAAATATTTCTATTTCCGGTTCCGCCACAGACTCCATCATTGCGAAACGTAAATGCAAAGTTCGATTTACATACGTGGTGTCTAGATCACATTTAATCACTATGCTGCTCTGAAAGTCAATGGTGTCCATGTTCTCGACGTGACAATGAAATGTATGGTCTGAAATGAAAGAGGTAAGCATACGTCATTACAACTACACCTACACTCTTTAACAGACAAATAGATAAGGGGGGTACCACACTTATTTCAGTTAAGTACATTGACACAATAAGTAAAAGTGGCGGACCCTGCTACATGTAACAGAAACCGGGTTTATCACTATCTTTGACATGTAACATACTCTCATCTCTGCTAGACCAATAACTTTCACCAGATAGTGTTCGGTTACTTGTTCTTAATATAACTGTTTGGTTTTATCTGTGTCAACAGTTAGATTCAACATTGCAGCTTTTTCTGTAAAAACCGTGACAAATCTAATTTTGTGTACATTTTCAGAAAATAAAACTCTGTCATTGGTGTACATCGTAGTAAAAACACTAATCTACTTCAATTGGCTCATTTTTTATATCATAAAAAAAGATGATGATAACGCTGCCCTTTGTAATAACATTTATGTCAAACATGAAAGACAATTTACCCTGTAGTTTTATGTTATTTGCTTCATTAAACCTTGACCTCATGGCATTAAGCAAACTACTTCCTGTTCCACTTTCAAACGTTGAAACCAAAAGTTTTCATTTGAAAGACATTCCAATGTCTTTCTATCAAAGCCTCCTATTTTGTTTTAAAGCGACATCACGGTGAAGTATATTTTTAACGCCATTTTTTTTAAATGCTGCATAAATATATCAAATGAGTCTCCTAATTGTCAATGACAGTGGGATTGCGCCGATACATTTGCATAAAATGTATAATTACTCATAAAAGAGGGGATCCATATATCCTGCCTGGTCACACATTTCATACTGTATTTTCTTGCGTAACATCTAATAACGCATGCGCACATCACGCCATAACGAAATGGCTTGCCGTGTTCAATGCAACCCTAGTATGAAGCTCAGGTTCAAATCATAATTCCCCATCGATTTCAACAACTTCCGTTGTACTCTATATCAATATCTATATCAATAATATTTTATTAGATAAACAAGTGCACAACTCAGCGATGTTATAAGCTAGAATATTTTTCAAAAAATTATTGGTACTGTATTTTTCATACTTTATACTACATCCGCATATGACTTGGTATATCAGCAAGGCACTTAAAGTATATAAAACACTCATCCATAATTAATTTATGTCACGCGGCTTTAACGTGGAAAAAATGCCGTTTTACGTGTTAGAAAGCCCAACGTATCACCTCTTTATCTCTAACATTGAAGTCATTGTAGAACATAGAACGTGGAACGATTCCATGCAAGAAAAAGCGACCTGAAAATAACTGGGCGTCAAAATCTCATAATACGTTTTTGTACATGTTCGATAAATTGTAATATTGCCTCGATATTTGGCGAAGAGTTGAGGTGTAAACGTGGCCATACCTTTGGGAGGTCTGTGTTGTCTGCTGTTGAAGACTAGGACCATTATCAGTGCGAGGAATATGAGGACGGACACTGCCACCGGTACTAGCCGGTACACAACCCTCCATTTCGTCTGTGACTTCATCTAAAACTCACAAGAAGATAACAGGAACATTACAACGCCTGTACAGTTATTAATTATACGTATATTCTATACATAACGATATTCATGCATGCTCAGCTATATACATTCGTGACTCCTAAAGTTTCTAGTGACTACCCCCGCGCCCTGTCAGACTTGTAGTAGGGCACGTTGTGTGAGAAAGTCTTTTTTACATAGCAATCATGCTGCTGCATTTCTACGTTTGAGTCATATCACTGCTTTATGTATCATTATTTCGAATATTGATAACTTTTGAACATTCACGGGTGAAACAAACAAAAATCAATTAAAATACGACGCAATGCTGCCGCTATCTGATTTAATACAATATACAAGTAACTGATAGTGTTACAACATATATATTTACCAGGAGCGTATTTATAAACTCAATTTTAGTGATGGGACATAATTTATTTCATAACCTTTTATGGTGTATGATGTGACTTCAAATGAGTAAAAATACATCTATACTTTGCTGTTAACATATATGATATATAATGTGTTTAGCAAATGTTCTATTTAAAACGTATTTACACCACAAACATACGCGTATATATTGATTAACATGATGGTTTACTGGCGTATTTCTAGCGTAACGCAGGAAATAGTTTCATGTTTCATGGACAATAAATGTTGTAATATAGTAAGGCAGGATTCAATTACTATTATCTGTACTCGAAATCATATGCGGAAATATTGTCCTTTAGAACAAAATTTGATCGACAAACGTTTTAAGACATACTTTCTCATTCAAGTGTCAACTCTTTATATTATATTTACATCTCGCACGTAAAAGCGAGTTCTATACCTTTAAAAGTTGACATTTCACAATTTTGTATACTGGCTTCCGTTTGAAATGTGTTCAGATTTGTTATTGGTTTGCCGGCATCTCTTTGTCACTATTTACAATAGAGAACACAAACAACACAAACAAGTAAGTCTAAACACTGTTTTTTATAACAAAACATTCCGATTTTGGTCGCATCTATAGACAATGTTTAGGTCTAAGCCAGGGAAATATGGGGCTCCCCAAAGGGTTAAGCAAATGTCCGACTATTCGGTTATTTATTTTGGTAACCGGTTCATGGTCTTCCGACCGAGTAGCCGGCTAGCCGTTCACAACCCTCATTTAACGAATGAACAATGACATGTCAAAGGTCTTTTGATAATGCAATCTATGTTTGATTAATCAAGAATTATCTAATGAAATACTATACCATACATTAATCACTATAAGAAAGCTCATTCACTTATGTGTGATCTAAATAATCATTACATAATCATTCATTACTCATGAATTCATTAACCTCCTTATGTTTATGGTAATTCCAAGCACAGGTAAAATTTTATCTCTCATGAAAAAACCCTTAAAAAACCCACATAAATCACTTAAAAACGTATCTTAGTACATCAATTTTGTTTTCTCATTTGCGAGAGGTACCTGTGTTTCAAGAGCTCAAATATCTATATGTCATGCTAAATCAGTTATAAAATAGAAAAATATATGTTAAATTTCTCCAAAACAACGGAAATTATATAATATTAACAAACAATAATCAGCTAACATACTTACGACATAGTCCTGCCACAGTCGCGTGTATCTGTAAGATAATTCCAGACTAACACCTCACATCAGGCAAAGCAAACGTGACGTCAGTTTCATTACCAACGCGGTAATACCATTTACATTTTCTTCTGTAATATAAATCAATTTAAAGTACATGCAAATGGAATTTGACGAATATGAATATTGCGTTAATGCTCGAGCCGACAGATACTATAGTAACCCTAGTCTGTTGCTGTCGATGAAATTACAGTTTCCGGTAACTGGCGGTTTTTTGTTTAGATCATTCTAACATCTGGATTAAAAATGTTTACGTTCTCTTTTCATCAGAAGAGTAATAGCTTGTGTCTGCAAACACCACTTTCGGTTTCAAAAGGTACACTTGTACCTGTGTGAACCATTTACAATCAGTATATAGATCTTCCCACACAGCCGCTATCTCTGTGTGTACTCTACACATACGTATCTGTGTGTTAACTATCATCCTATGTACTCCAAACATATGTTAACACTTATACATAGTTGCCGGGAAACGTAACCTTTACTTGTGAATTTCAGAACTTGTGTTTCATTTAGCTAATCACTGATCTAACCTTTGATGATACTACGGAATTAGCTATATCTAAGTCTGTGGTGATAGTGAAATATGGTATTTATCATACAAACTATGATATATGTGATCATGCATGTATGAACTACGGTACAACTGGTCAAGGTTGTATAAACGACGGTATATGTGGTCATACTTGTATGAACTACGGTATGTCATGTTACCTTTGTTTAAACTACGGTATGTCCTATCATGGTTGTATGAACTACGGTATGTCCTATCATGGTTGTATAAACTACGGTATGTCATGTCATGGTTGTTTAAATTGAGGTATGTCCTATCATGGTTGTATGAACTACGGTATGTCCTATCATGGTTGTATAAACTACGGTATGTCCTGTCATGGTTATATGAACTATGGAATGTCCTGACATGGTTGTATGAACTACAGTATGGCCTGTCATGGTTGAATGAACTACAGTATGTCCTGACATGGTTGTACGCATGAACTATAGTATGTCCTGTCATGGTTGTATCAACTACAGTATGTCCTGTCATGGTTGCATGATCTACAGTATGTCCTGACATGGTTGTATGAACTACGGTATGTCATGTCATGGTTGTATGAACTACAATATGTCCTGTCATTGTTGTATGAACTACAGTATGTCCTGACATAGTTGTATGCATGAACTACAGTATGTCCTGTCATGGTTGTATGAACTACAGTATTTCCTGACATGGTTGTATGAACTACGGTATGTCCTGACATGGCTGTATGCATGAACTACAGTATGTCATGCCATGGTTGTATGAACTACAGTATGTCCTGACTTGGTTTTTGAACTACGGTATGTCCTGTCATGGTTGTATGAACTACAGTATGTCCTGACATGGTTTTTGAACTACGGTATGTCCTGTCATGGTTGTATGAACTACAGTATGTCCTGTCATGGTTGTATGAACTACAGTATGTCCTGACATGGTTGTATGAACTACAGTATTTCCTGACATGTTTGTATGAACTACAGTATGTCCTGACAAGGTTGTATGAGCTACAGTATGTCCTGACTTGGTTGTATGAACTACAGTATGACCTATCATGGTTGTATGAACTACAGTATGTCCTGACATGGTTGTATTCATGAACTACAGTATGTCCTGTCATGGTTGTATGAACTACAGTATGTCCTGTCATGGTTACATGAACTACAGTATGTCCTGACATGGTTGTATGAACTAGGTTATGTCCTGTCATGGTTGCATGAACTACAGTATGTCCTGACATGGTTGTATGAACTACGGTATGTCCTGACATGGTTGCATGAACCACAGTATGTCCTGTCATGGTTGTATAAACAACAGTATGTCCTGACATGGTTGCATGAGCTACAGTATGTCCTGTCATGGTTGCGTGAACTAGGTTATGTCCTGTCATGGTTGCGTGAACTAGGTTATGTCCTGTCATTATTGCATGAACTAGGGTATGTCCTGTCATGGTTGTATGAACAATGGTTCTCCTGTTACGGTTGAATGAACTGTGGTATATCTGGTAAAGGTCGTTTGGAAAAGAACAAACGTAATTACGTATATTAACATGTGTGTTATCACTACAGACGGCATGTTAACGTGCATGTGAGTATAACTCTTGATTGATGTATAATATAAATTATGTATTTACAGTTATATATAATGAAATAAAAGCTGGATACACATTTTCAATTATGTATATTATGAATATAAACATATATAATAACGTATAACAGTTATATATACATACATTAGTATGCATTAGAAATTAGATATACATGTACATTTATAATTATCTATACCAGCTATAAATACATTCATAATTATGAATAACAGCTACATGTAGATATACATACATAATTCTATGTTTACTTTATATTTAATTACTCGAGGCATATATGATTATATGCAAGTTTAAAAAAGTACATAACTACATATACCTACAAACTGCATATTAAAACTGAACTAAATAAATACTACTTATATATACATATTTACCTGCTCTCTCAGTCCTTGCACGTGCATGAATACGAAGGTTGTGAATATCTTACCCCTGCACAACAGCCTTCAGTCATACAAATTGTAATAAATCTTAATCAAAACGGACATACACTAATGTTTCGATACTGTGTGATGGTAGACACAAAATACAGCTGTGTATTATCATGCAGTACATCACTGACGGCCAGCTGACCACTATCACGTGAGGGCGCGTGCTTCTGTCCATCACCTGTCTGAGCTACGGATACCGACCACATTTATCATTCTAAACATACGAGAATAAACGTCATCACAATTCACTGAATCAAACAATTCAATATTCGCTGGAAAATTTACGAGGCCAATGGCGAGTTATCATAGCTATAAAGACAAGAAGTGTAACATAATGCACGGTAGTCTAATGGTAGGACGCCGGGCTCGTGACCGAAGGGTTGTGGGTTCGAGTCACGGCACGGCACTGTGTTGTATCTTTGGGCAAGATACTGTACCCCGCTTGTTCCAGTCTACTCAGCTGTAACTGAGTACGTGGTTGAGCAGTGCTAGAACTGTTGAATGCTAGCTGTTAGCGCCGAAATGGCAGCTCCGGCTGTATGCTCCCCCAGGGAGTTGAGAAAGATATTGGCTGGTTGCAAAGGCCTTATAACCACGGAAAATAATTTCTGAACCGCTTTAAGACGACCTACGAACTAGGTTGTGATAAAGTGGTAAATAAGAACCTCGAGTTATTATTATTATTACATGATATGCCTTCTTTGGTTTACCACAATTACCATTAAACGGTATTGGCCGATGAAGCGTTTACCTAGCGTAGTCGTATACAGTTGTGTTAAAAAGAACAAGAGTTTAAAAGATCTAGCTAATAGGCTTTTTTAATCAATCATTAATGCAATTGTTGATTATTGAATTGTCACACAGTATATTACTGATAAATACAGTCATATGGTAATCTAAAAACTGTCTACATTGTCCTGCCAATTCTGAGCCAATTTTGGCTTACGAGACACTATAGTCATTAAAATACAATTAACAATTACATTTACAAAAAGAGGACACCCTTATTGCATTACAATCTATTATCAGGATAAATGTTTTCTTCGTTTAAACAAAGAATAACAGGCAAGAAAGACGTAAATATAAAGATAGTCATAAGGATTATTTTTTTCATTTCAGTTATACACAGACGTCATTAAATACTTAATATATCAGTGTTAAAGGTAGATATGCCTAAACGAAAATTATAAAGAAAATAAACATATGTTGCATAAGGCTTGACAGGTGCCACATATTGTCTAGATGAGCTTACTATTCCCGACTCTCCAGTCGTTTCTGTAGTGGTTTTAATCCCCAATTCCCGGTATTGTATTTTTGTATCAATTTTGAATCGGTTTTTGCCTTGTTGTTGACGCTGTGGTATATTTTGACCATGTGTGTTGACGCTGTAGTATATTTTGTCCATATTTGTTGACGCTGTGGTATATTTTGTCCATGTGTATTGACGCTGTGGAGTTTTTATCCATGTGTGTTGACGCTGTGGTATATTTTGTCCATATGTATTGACGCTGTGGTATATTTTGTCCATGTGTGTCAATGTTGTAGGTTTTTTTTGTCCATATGTGTTGACGCTGTGGTATATTTTGTCCCTGTGTGTTGACGCTGTACTATATATTTTGTCCATATTTGTTGACGCTGTGGTATATTTTGTCCATGTGTGTTGACGCTGTGGTATATTTTGTCCATATGTGTTGACGCTGTGGTATATTTTGTCCATGTGTGTTGACGCTGTAGTATATTTTGTCCATGTGTATTGACGCTGTGGAGTTTTATCCATGTGTGTTGACGCTGTAGTATTTTTTGTCCATGTGTGTTGACGCCGTGGTATATTTTGTGCATATGTGTTGACGCTGTGGTATATTTTTTCCATATGTATTGACGCTGTGGTATATTTTGTCCATGTGTGTCGATGTTGTAGTATTTTTTGTCCATGTGTGTTGACGCCGTGGTATATTTTGTGCATATGTGTTGACGCTGTGGTATATTTTGTCCATATGTATTGACGCTGTGGTATATTTTGTCCCTGTGTGTTGACGCTGTAGTAGATTTTGTCCATATTTGTTGACGCTGTGTTATATTTTGTCCATGTGTGTTGACGCTGTGGAGTTTTTTTATCCATGTGTGTTGACGCTGTGGTATATTTTGTCCATATGTATTGACGCTGTGGTATATTTTGTCCATGTGTGTTGACGCTGTAGTGTATTTTGTCCATGTGTGTCGATGTTGTAGTATATTTTGTCCATGTGTGTCGATGATGTTGTATGTTAATTAATGTGTGTTGACGCTGTGGTATATTTTGTGCATATGTGTTGACGCTGTGGTATATTTTGTCCATATTTGTTGACGCTGTGGTATATTTTGTCCATGTGTGTTGACGCTGTAGTATATTTTGTCCATGTGTGTCGATGTTGTAGTATATTTTGTCAATGTGTGTCGATGTTGTAGTATATTTTGTCCATGTGTGTCGATGTTGTTGTATGTTAATTAATGTGTGTTGACGCTGTGGTATATTTTGTGCATATGTGTTGACGCTGTGGTATATTTTGTCCATATTTGTTGACGCTGTGGTATATTTTGTCCATGTGTGTTGACGCTGTAGTATATTTTGTCCATGTGTGTCGATGTTGTAGTATATTTTGTCAATGTGTGTCGATGTTGTAGTATATTTTGTCCATGTGTGTCGATGTTGTGTACATTTTGTCAATGTGTGTCGATGTTGTAGTATATTTTGTCCATGTGTGTCGATGATGTGGTATAATTTTCCATGTATGTTGACGCCGTGTTGACGCCGTGGAGTATTTTATCGATGTGTGTTTACGCTGTGGTATATATTGTCCATGTGCGTGACGCCGTGGGGTATTTTTTCCAGGGGTGATGACGCTGAGAGGTTTTCGTTCTTGAGGTTTGACACTGTGGTACTAAGTATATATCTATATTTCACTTTGCTTTTCAAATGTTTCAAATACTGTTTTCCTTTGAATTTCAACATTTTTTCATGTGTCGATGATGTGGTATATTTTGTCCATGTGTGTCGATGTTGTAGTATATTCTGTCCATGTGTGTCGATGTTGTAGTATATTTTGTCCATGTGTGTCGATGATGTGGTATATTTTTCCATGTATGTTGACGCCGTGTTGACGCCGTGGAGTATTTTATCGATGTGTGTTTACGCTGTGGTATATATTGTCCATGTGCGTGACGCCGTGGGGTATTTTTTCCAGGGGTGTTGACGCTGAGAGGTATTCGTTCTTGAGGATTGACACTGTGGTACTAAGTTTTTTTTCTATATTTCACTTTGCTTTTCAAATGTTTCAAATACTGTTTTCCTTTGAATTTCAACATTTCTTCATGCTAATTAGTAACCTTTTTAATAGTTGAACAAACGCAATAGTAGCAACGAATTGATGTTATGATGATTTCAATTTAAGTAGAAATAGCGATAAATTTTAAATCAAAAAGTCCAAAAACGATTACTTACAAGTCGAACATTCTATAATTACAATCTCAAATACTAAAACTTTGTGGCAAATTGATACATAAGTACTTCATAAAGCTGCACAACAATTATAAATACGAATATATTTATTTTCCTCGATATTGATAAAATATACATTGAGCCACAAACAAAACATTAAAGCATATGCTCACGAAAATACCCAGAAAAATTCTGCGCGAATCCAGTCATTCAGGGCAAATGTATTAAAATGGCTAATCATATTCACATTTATTACCTTTTCCATCGAAACGTATTGCTCTTCACGATATGTATACATTAGCGTATTCACTGCAACGACCACATGAAACTCTCTAATGAAAACATTTTATTGTATTATGTTGGAAAAAAGTCAAAGTTCCGGATAGCCAAAAAGCAGCATCAGATTAATGAAAACATAAACAAACAACTCCGGTCCAACAGGTCAAACAGTTTGGATAACGATGAACGGAAACGGCTCAACTGTCCGTACCGAGTTGAGAATTAGAAAAGTGCCAGTCAATTCCTGCATGGTTTTACCAATAATATATGAAACATATACAGCGGCGTAACTAGTCCTTGTTCGGAGTGGAATCATTTAGGAGCGGGTCTAGGGCAGGGCCTTACTATGGAGACAAGGGGGTGCAACAAGCAGTTTTGCTTCATTTTTTCTTCTCTTTGAAAATTTAGTACTAAAGTACATTAATTTGCGTACCAGCGTATATGCAGTTAAACGTCTGATAAACCACTTTCTCGATACTCCAGAGTTTAGCTCACTTTCGCTCTCTGCACCCCTTAAATATGGTATTACAAAAATGAAGGCACGCAGCTAGTTGTTTGATTGATTTCGGGTAAAATAAAACCTGACCTATCAAGCAGCGGATACGTGTCCTTTCAATATTAGAGAGGAGCTATAACCGACTTCAAAGCCGGTCAATTTTAGCGTTAGGCACAGGGAGATTTCTTTTGGTGTTCATCAAAAAATCAAACTAGTCCTTCTGTCCCATCCCCAAGGTGGTGCACACTAAGCCCTCGATTTTGCTATGGCATACTCAAGGGGTGTAGCGAACGTAAGTTAGCTCAAGCCCTGGAGTACGTATCGAGGATAGGAATACCATGATCTGTTATATAGGTATCAAATAGATGTATCTAGGACAGACGCCATCCTGAGAACATTGCCTTGCCATAAACACTACTACTATGTATGATTCCACTAAATTTAGACCGGATAAACACGTGATCTCCTACACTGACTGACGTCACAATCACACCGGTGGTACTATCCCAAGCATGCCCTGTTTCCGCATCAGAGAATATGGAACCCTGGGACAACCCGTTAATGACAAGTTCCGTCACAACGTTGTCTGTCGTGGTTCCAGTGGTCAGCCAGGTGAATACGTACACCCCACTGACCGGAACTGTGTATACACCATCTCCTGCATGATAGTGATCATCCATGTCCAGTAGGACTTCATCGAATGCTATCACTAGATTGGGATGTAAATTCAAATCTCTTCCACTCAAAGAAACGCTGAATGCTCCTGCTCCATTAGGCGCAACTCTGACTGCAATAACAAAACAAAAACAGTTTATTAAGCGATTGTTATATATGCCGTAATATGTTGTGACTCCCTTTAAACCACATTGTAGGTTTATGCTTACTTTCCTGGAATATGTCATAGCAAAATCGAAATCTCAGTGTGCACCACCTTGTGGGTGGGACAGAAGAACTTGTTTGATCCTTTGATGTACATCAATAATAAATTATTGATGGGCAGCTAATATTTTGGATAATAAAATAATGTGAATGTAAAAATATAAATAAATTAATGTATGCTATAGTATAATGTGGTGTTGTAGCTTACCAGATCGTGAGGGCTGTTCATCCTTACACTTCCTTAATGGTTTCGTTTTAGATGTTGCGTTGATGCCATCTTTGGGATTCTCTTCAGGCCAATTGGAATCGGAGACACGGTCGGGAAACTCAGTGAGACGTTTGTCCGTCCAATCTTGGGATTGTTTTGATACTGATTTCAGCTCTCGCTCCAGCTGGTCAATACGGATTTCTTTTCGCTTCAGATCCTCCTCGTTGCTCCTGACCGTCATCTCCAGCAGCTGTAACCTGTTGTCCTGACGTTCTATCCTTTCCAATAACGATTCCACCAGACGTCTAAGCGATTCCTCTGTGGACACTTCTCTGCAACGATTATTCATTACGATTCGTTCACTTCATCCAGAGAATATGTTATAGCAAAATCGAAGGCTAAGTGTTTGCCACCTTATGAATGAGACAAGAAGACTAGTTTGATATTTTGGTGTACATCAAAAACATATCGTGACATTGACTAGATTTGAAGACAGGTGTCGCTCCTCTCTAATCTAATCAAAGGATAGCTATCAATGGGCGCAGCGAGTGTAAGCGAGAGTCATCCCGAGAATTTCGAGGATATACGATCTGTGACACGCCTAAGCGGCTTATGACTGTTATTAAATACTAAAATGAGACATAAAGGCATATCAGCAACTTGCTTTATAGAAATTTTTAGCAACACCCGACCTCGATACTCCCGGGGTTAAGCTCACTTTCGCTCTCTGTACCCCTGTAATATGTCATAGCAAAATTGAAGGGTTAGATGCACCCTCTTGTGGATGACTTTGAAGTCGGGTGACGCTTCTCTGTAAATCTTCAAAGATATAATCATCCTAAGGGATCGGATTTTTTTTTTTTACCCAAGACCAATGAAATAGCTTGCCGCGTGCCTTCGTTTTTGCTATAACATATTCCATGGGCACAGAGTGCTAAAGTGAGCGTAACCCCTGGAGAATCGCGGATGAGAAATATCAAGCATATATGGAACTTATCATATTCCTCATTGGCTTTTTTATGACAGTAACCTACACGTAACTTTTTAGAAATTCATGTCATCAATTAATCAGACGTTTGATGACAATGTTCTGCAATAAGGTTTAGACGTTTTAAAAGCTCACCTACTCATGATATCTTGCCATGAAACTATACTTACTCTTTGTGTGTCTCTTGAAATAACTTGGGTGTAGTTGTTATTTTTGTGTACATGAATTGCATTTAGTATTACTATATATTTTTACTGTTGTTCTAACTAAGTTTTGTATGGAATACACCAGCATATCTTACCTATGGTCAATGTTCACGTCAGATGGACTAACGTCCGGGCGAGAATTTTCGGTCGGACTCTCCTTAGCCGTGCCATGGACCACAAAACTCAGGACGAGGGCGAGACGCAGCCAGTACATTATGTACTACAGAAGTGTCGATAACGGGCCGATTTATTTATCAATTACTTTGAAATTATTGCCTTTAGAAACAATCTAGCACTGAGCTGATAAGAAACGGTGGTCTGGACGTCACGAGTCTGGTTCGTTGATAGTTGACCGTACTAACACATGGCAACGATTGTAGTAAATATAGTACCGTACACGTATAAAAGGTCATTTACGCAAGCTTAAATTTTCGCGATTCTGACCCTCAGTTAGAAAATTACACGGATTACAATTTCGCGGTCTAGACAGGAACTAAATTTTCGCGATGTTTTAGCAAAGCATTACAGTAAGAATGTGGAATTTGTTAATCAAATCTTCAACCAAACTAAAAGATGAGCGATACAACCTATTTTCAAACATCTTGCATTACTTTTGATGTATATGGTTTGCTACAACCACATCCTCGTTATTTCATGACGACATAACGGTTACGAAATTGATTATTGCGTCTCATGTTTACGCTTGTCATTTTATTCTGCGGATCATATATATGTTCGCAATCACGTTGTCGTTATCAACCCTCGAAATCGCGAAAATATCATCCCTGTGGAAATATTTCGCTATACGGTGGTTAATCATTTTCACCAAAAACCTTGCTTGTGTACCATATAAAATAAAGATAAAAGTGTTTTTTTATTGCTTCGGATTTTGATAAAAGGACCTTGTATACTATTTATGTCTTTTTTAATGCCTTTGTACTTTTGGATTATTCTGACTTCAAATAATATGTGGAGCATAAGTCGCTACAACTACTTGGTGCAGGATGAGTTGTCATTAAATATGTATATATGAGAATAACATTATCATCTAAATATTGTATTTATTGAAAACAAGTTCAAAACTCGCGCAGTTGAGCCACGAAGTAAGGCAACACTTTTGCGATAAAGAAAACCAAATAAAATAATGGAAATGCTAGTCTTGTTAATTGTTTGATGCCAATCAAACGTTCCATTTCAAATACTTTATAAAAGAAATAATCCCTATATATCACCATCGCATAAGAAATCAAAGACAACCTTTTTTTCATCAGATAGAACAGATGCCGTATGAACTTAAAAGTGGCACCATGGCGCGCGCTGATTCTAGAACACTTTACCCATTATCTGTTGCCAAAATAATTAAGACATACGTTTTTTCCGTCTTCCTGTTATGAGTGCAAATGGTGGAAACTATCTAGGACAAAAACAATTATTTATTGTGCCATCTATCTAAGAGTTCTGTGATAGAAGTAGGACCGTTATGGCTAACTCCTTAATTGAATGGACATTTATCGAAGCGTACATTGATATAAGAAAAGTTAATTTTATAGAACGAACAGTTAACTATGCGTTATTTCGAAAAACATCATATGTTACATGATTTTTTTCAATTGGGTTGTATTTGTGATATTGTGGAAATACCATAGTTTACAGGTACATTTAGGTTTGGTAAAATTATAAATGTATCACCCTTGTCACAGACAATGTATTTTTGTAGATATGTCTATACAATTAAACTTTTATGAAATACAAACTCTATTCATTATACAACAATTACAAAACAAATTATTTCTAGTTATATTAATTACTCTTGTTGGCCCGGATGTTAGCGCGCGGATGATTTCCATGTGGAAGGAAACCGGAGTTCCCGGAGAAAACCAACGTGATCGGGCAGGTCACCCAAAACCTTCTCACGTCCGATCTGGGAATCGAAACCCGGCCGCCTTGGTGAAAGGCGAGTGCGCTATCCACTGCGCCAAATGGAAATCAACATTTATTAACCTGATACTTGTATATATGTTCTTGTAAAATTAGGAAATAAAGAAATAAAAATATCAACATTGCATTTAACAGAGAAAGTGATATTTCTATTATTTTAAGGAGAAATATAACAGGAAGGAATTGCATTTCTGAACCTATATCCTCTCAGAAATACCATATATCTCGACTAGTGCTACTGCATCTACGATAATCGCCATCCCGAGAACATCGCATTGCTGTAGATGTTGTCACTGTGTAAGTTGCCTGAGTATTTAGACCTGATAAACACGTGATCTCCAACACTGGCTGACGTCACAATCAAACCGGTGCTACTATCCCAATGAGCGGCATCCGGGTCAGAAAAAATTCTACCCCGCGGTGAGCCGTTAATTACCAGCTCTGTAACAACGTTAGCTGTTGATTCTCCTGTCGTAATCCAGGTGAATACATACACACCGCTAACCGGAACAATGTATACTCCATCTGCCTTGTTGTAGTTACCTCCGATGTCCAGGAGAACTTCGTCAAACGTCAAAACAAAATTAGGATGTAAATCCTGATTCTTGCTTAAGGAAACGCTAAAGGCTCCAACTTCTCCGGAGTTAGCTGGTGACACCCTAGCTGTAATTATAAAATAAGAAGTTTATTGCGTATCACGAGTTTAACTAGGAACATACATCTTCTGTGTAAATCTGTTATCGTGGATTCTTTAAATATTTTACTTATTTAATATGTTCAGCGAAGTGTCAATTGACTTATGCAATAGTGACCGGCCGGATGACTGAACATGATTCACACACCATACAATCGAGACCATTGAAGGTCATGTTGTCACTCACCGGACCTTCGAGGTTGCTCATCTTTTGTTTTCTGTCTAGATGTGATACCATTGATTTTACTCTTGGTCTGTTCTAGGGGTGAATCGGGATTGATGTCGTGGTCTTGAGCCTCGGACTGCTGACGTTCATCCACAGGAGGCTGGATTTGATATGACGCTGTTTTTATTTCATCAAGTTCTCGTTCCAGATGACCTATTCGGATGTCCTTACGCTTCAAATCCTCTATGTTTTCCTCGATAGTCTTCTCCATCTGTTGTAGTCTTATCTCCTGAAGTTCGACCCGCTCCATCAAAGATTCCACAAAGTGTCTCAGCGGCGCGTTCGATGACGCTGTCCTACAACAAACACTTGTCATAATGCAGTACAACAATTCCATTGCAAATGCTAGGGCTTCATGTAAAGATGTATGTAACCGAATTGCGTTCATACCGGCATGAATATTGAAAAATGCCGTTTAATCCCTTAATTTACATTCAAACCTGATCAAAGTTTCTCTGTCACCTCCGAGAAGAGGGTTTTCTGTCATCCCTATGGTAATACATATACTCTATTTCCTTCACATCGGTGAGAGGGAATGATCATCCCCGTGGTGAGTGTATACCAAAGAAATTTCATCACTTGGGGTTAGATTTTTGAGTATCTTAATTGTGCGGCTTGAAGCAAGCCTCGGGTAAGACATTCAAGAATATCACCACTCGGATTAAGATTTCTCTGTCATACCTTCACGGTCTTCACGATTAAGGGCGTTAAATTTACCTGTCGCCATTTCTCACATCGGCTTGGCTGGTGTACGTCCCTGCCTTTTCTACCGGACTCTCCTCCGCAGTACCACGGGTCGCTAAAGTCAGGACGAAGACGAAATACAACCAATCCATTCTACACGTTGGTCGTTGACAACTTTGTCGAATTTCAAAAACGATCTACATGTAGCCCCACACTGATAAGAAATCGCCCACGTGGTTCCTTATAGGGACTGTAGATATGATGTTCTACACTTCCTCATTGTTTATCAAGGTTTCAACCTTCTCGTTACAGTTAGACTTAAAAGAAGACGGCAGCCCAGTGAGACAACTACGGAAAAAAAAAGGCGGGAGGGAAAAGAACTGATATAAATCTTAGTGGTGTTCCGATTAGTCGACTAAGTCGAGCATCGGTCAGTTAGGCTAAGTAACTGATAAATCGAGTACAAAATCCATGATCGATTTTAGTCGGAATGCTAATGTGTAGATATTATGGAGTTTTCAGTAGATATTTTCCCATCTACTATGTAAACTTGATGGCATCATCACTGCATGACTTACTTTTAGCGCATAGCTGCTAATTAGGACTATTTATTACAGATTCGGTGTTGGAAGAGAGGTATTTTTTATATCATAATTTCATGGTATCACTTTTTTATTTGCCTAAGTGACTCGCAACAACAGCATGGAGGATTTCACTATGTATTTTTATAAAACTATTAGTAATCGACCATCGGTTGGTAAATGGTAAACAATGATCGATCATAAAATTTTAACCGATAACCAACATTAATATATCATATAAGTGTGGCGATGGGGACAGCAAATCAGTTTTTACATCCCCAATGTCCTATAAGCTGGAATCAAAAGAAAACCCCCGATTCTGCAGTGAGCAGTAAACATTAGTCACCTGATATTCCGTCTTTTCGTATTGCAGATTTATCTGATCTTGTGAGTAGGTATTGTGACGTTATCATTTTGTGTGAGAAAATTACGTCTTTTTCCCAAAAAATGATGACGTTACTCTCACAAACAAATGACATAACAATCAATACATGGTTTCAAGAGCAGATAACTCTGCAATACGAAAAGACGGAACTATACACTTTCCTGAAACTGCACGTTCCCCTAAGCAACTTTTTAAGGTAAACATACGCGTGATATTGCCAGCATTCAACAACTGTTTTTTTTTTTATATATAAACATCCGGATAATCTTTGCTGGTGTAAATCATTGCGTTTTCAAACCAAAAAGAAAAACTTTCCAATGAAAATATTTAATTTTGAATAATGATTGAAAATCAATCCTCAATTAATTGAATTAATTATATGGTAAATCACTTAAGAGTGCTACTAGTATAAAGAATATAATTTACTTAAGGAAAACGATATTTCCTTAATCATAAATAATTTCGAAATATTTTTTGTTCAAACTTTATTTACATTGATTATGAAATTACTTTTATAACTTAAATGCTTTTTAGGACTTTAGATTTTTTAAATAAAAACCCCAATCATAACCATGGAATTAAAATAGATATTTAAGTCCGTGTCATTACAAATGATACCACCTGACATTGTCACAAGACTGAGGTCAAAGAAGATCGTTCATTGTTCTAAATAGTAATAGAACGTTACCAAAGTTAGACAATATATTCAGAAAGAAGAATTCTATCATGGAGCGGGTTGTGCTGATGAAGCGGATCTGGACTGGGTCAATCGTCGGCGACCAGGTAGCTCAATATTTGCAGAGTATCTGTCAACGTTGGTGCAATCAAATTCGCTATGCACCCAAATTCGCCACCCTGTGACGAAAATGCCATATGACGTCATCACACATCAGATGTGACGTAAATAACGTCACCACAGTTTTTTGCACAGTTAAAGCCTTCAAATATTTTGATAAGAAGAGGTATTAGAACGGAAAAGTTATATTATTAATTTAAACAGCTATAAAATATCTTGTACCATACCGAATCGTAAAAATTTGGTCTGTGCGACGGACATCTTGTCCACTAAACTCATAAATCAGAGGCCTGTTGGTTGTGATTTACTGTTACTGATATCTTAACGGAAATTACAGTTTAATGGTCGACTGAGCCGTCAATGCAAGTAAATTGTTATTATACAAGTGTATCATTGTAGGCTGACGACCCCATGCGTGTTTACGGAAATGACGCTCGGAAAGATTTGATAACTCATTTTCCATTTTCCTGCATTGTGTATTTACAATCAACCAGCATCTTTTTAAAGGTATTGTTTGTGTTTAACATTCAACCATCTTACAACCGTGACACTTTAATTACAATACCATCTAAAAAAAAGATTTATATCTGAAAAGAATCCGTTGTCGGCCTGAAAGTACTGCTGTACAATGCAATCGTATGATGATTGTACGTAGAGACTGACAATTACCAAAGACTGATTTTTACATGAAAAAGTAAGTACATTTACAACACCTGAAGCAGTCTCTGTAGAATAAGTTTTCAAGCCCAAACAATCGTTTTAATTTGTCAGATGTTTCCCGTTGGCGCAAGACGATCAGATATGCACATGAGACAAATTACTCCAAAGGTCAGAGAGGAAAGGTTACCGTTGAAAGCCCTTGACCCTCTCATCCGGACCCGATGAAAAATGTAATTTTGGGCACCGATTTGGCGGAAGTTTATATTTGTTCAGGACTGAGTCTTCATTGTGATTAACCTGTATACAGCTTTAAATGGTGGACAGCCAATGAACTGGATAAATTGACAAGGAATTAATTGTCTTGAAATCACACAAGGTGACCTTGATCAGGTACAGCCAATGGGAATCCAATGTGACCACAGGTAAATGGGTAATGCATTCATCTCAGCCGATCCCACCCATCTTACCTAAATAGCATTAATCAGTTTCCCCAAGTTACCGAAAAATAACTTATTACAAGTAAGAAAGGCAATTTATTTCAGTGTCTATCATTGTTACACACACATATTTTGAATTGTTCATATCAGTACGACTTATGTAACATCAACCGCATACACAATTTTACATTTAAACATATACCTTACTTGGAAACTAGTGAAATGTTTGAAGTTGGCGAAACTGCCTGCGCATTTGAGCGAAACCACGGAAGTCCTGATGACGTCACATATACTGCTACGTGACGTCATTCAGGCGTGTTTACAACAATGTTTATCTATTCCGTCTTTGCGTATTGCAGAGTTATCTTCTCTTGAGAGCAGGTATGGACTAATAGAATCTCTCACCCCTTGGGGGTGAGATAGGGGAATCTTTCCCCGAGGGTTGAGATTCCTCTATCTTATCCACAAAGGAGTGAATGATTCTTTTTCTCTTACCCTGTTCTCCCAATGTGTATCATAGACACAATGTAATGATAACGTTACATGCTAAATTCAGGGTTGACGTGACGTTGATGGATTGTTGACGTGACGTCATTGTATTGTTGAAGTGACGTCATACCATTGTTATGAATAGGGGAATCCCCCCGTCTCAACCCTAGGGTGAGACAAGGAAATCTCACACCGGTAAACGTGCGGATACACCTGTCCAGGGTAAGAGAATGTTACGTCACTTGGTTCGAGTAAGAAAATTACGTCGTTTTCTCAAAAAATGATGACGTTACTCTCACAAACAAATGACGTAACAATCAATACCTGCTCTCAAGAGAAGATAACTTTGCAATACGCAAAGACGGAATAGGCATTTCAGTCAAATCTTCTTCTGTACAGGTGCACGTTGGCATTTTGATAAATGCTTATTTGGACGAATTATGAAGTTAAACCCTCACTCAGTAATGTGACGAATTTGTCTGCACTTACGTTAGAGTTCGGAGGTTTCCCGAGTTCGAACCTAGCCCGGTCTGGCTGTTGTAATGGCATTTTCCCTTTTTCTCCTCAGTGTTACACCACGGACTTATAGATAACATATACTGTACACTGAAACTTGATTGAATAGTGCATATCAGTACACAATTTTAGTTGAGCGTATTAAGAGCCCAACATGACCGATTAATACATGTTCTGACCAGTATTAAAGTAATAATATTGCCACGGTGTACAATCAATCTGTTAAATCATGGGATATCCTAGGTTAAAGCTTAGTCAAACAGATACATTGTAATTATAGTGCTCCAAAATTTGTGATATTAACTTTGATGTGATAAGCTAAATACTGTGATAAATCTGTGATTATTATGCAATTGAAATCTGTGATCATATGTGATATTTGTACCTGTCGAATAAATATTATTATTAATTCATTTGTTATTTGATTCACGTGATATTTCAGATCCCTTTGGTCTTTTTTTCTTTCGACAATTCTGCAATTTGTTATCTTTTTACAATGTTTCCATATGAAACTTTGTTGCTTATATTGAAATGACCCATCCCTACAAGCAATCGGGGTACATGCAACGTTTCATTTAAATATGTTATTCCTCTTTATTTTAAGATCGGATATTTCGTAAATTCGATTAACTCTACAGTTTCCGGTTTCGTTTGCGCCAAAACGAGGACAAACGGATGTACACTAAACCGGCGTGAGATCCGAAGTTGTCAAGTCATTGGGATCATAATACAACATCTCAGCTGAATTTAAGCCATAAAAATGAAGATGAACATAACTTCAGCAGGTAAGAATTCAATAAATTATGTCATCAAATAATTCTCAGTCAGAGAAATGATCCTATTCTACGACATGTGAAAAAGAAGTTGAACAAGTCGGGGTTGACCAAGATAAATAAACGAACAAAAAACTAACTGGATTTGTAATCGACAGTACAGTGTACTCGTTAAATTGAAAAATAGACAACCGTTATCGAACATACTCAGAAGTAACGTGATTAAGAGAACTATTTCAACTGTAGCCTTAATTAGATAATCAAACTGATTTTATATTTCATGTTGTTCTCTTCTTTTATGTTCCTATCATTGTTCCATTTTCGTTTTGACTTTCTCTGTCTGTCTGGAGACATTACAAAGTTCAATGAAATAAAGGCAGATCCATCATTATTTTAGTTTTTGTTCAAACAAAAAATTGGATATGCCGAATGACACAAATAAGCTAACTTAAGATGCACATTTGATTCCAATTTGGTCATGATGACATCACAACACAATAAAATGCCATCATGATGACATCATACAATTATTGGTACTATGAAATGGGTAAACTTCTGGTCATTTTCAAGCAATGCTGCATCGAAATGTTTTTCATCAATATTTTATTCAATTATTTACATTTTTTTTATTGCTGAACATCATCCTAAAACTATTTTTAGATAAAAACAACCTAGTGCAAAACAAGCTGGGTAGATCAGGGCCCGTACATTCATGAAACTGTTATCATGGCTCACGCTCAGGCTTGGTTTCTGTGCTCAAACCAACTTTCTCGAACTCGCTAAAATCATCTCAAACTACACAGAGTAAAATGTAAACATAAAAAAATGTATTAGGACTATTCAGATTTAAATCTCTTAAGATTATGTCCAAATCAATGAGTTTTTTTTATTTATCTGTAACAGGAGATAGAGAAAATGTTAAGGCCATGCTGGGGTTAAAAAACCCGGACTCTCCTAACTCTAGACTGACACTCTCCCAATTGAGCTATCTGGTCGCTGATGATTAACCCAGTCCAGTTCCGCTACATTCCTCCCTCCTTTTTCTAAGTCTTTGCCCCCGAAGACCCAACTGTTAACAACCCAAGTTTGGGTACCCCCTTGCTAAGTGTACTTCCAATGCTTGAAACAAGAGTTACCAATCTCCCTAAAACTCCCTCACTCAAGTCCAAACTCACACAAACTCAAAATCTACATCCTGTGGTCAAATGATCTCCTACATGTAGTTACGGCAGGGTGTGTGTGTTATGATCATAACAGGTGTGTCTGAATCAAAAGAATGTTTTTTTGAGATAATTTGATACATAAAAAGGGAAAGATAAATTCAACAAAGCAGTTTCAGTCATGTTTCATGCACTTCCTCCCTCATTCCTCAATGTGAAAATGGGAAGATCTCCCTCATTTGAGGTTTCAGAGCTGTTAACACCTATGATAACTGGAATAAAAAATCAGGCTTAAGTACAAAATCCATGCTTGAGCATGGTATACGATTTCATGAATGTGGGTCCAGGATTCATGACGAAACTACCTGACATTTGTAGAATATAAATGTCACATGTTATCATACAGGAACAAATCTTCATTAACTTTCTGTCAATGGAACTGACAAGAAGATTTTCTGTGCTAGTATGTCGAGCTGTTTATGTTATATTCCGCATGGTTTGTTTGTGTTTCAGCTGGAGTAATATCCCTGCTGGATGAACCAGAGCCTCAGTTAAAGGTTTGTGTGTTTACAGTGATTCTGACTGGAAATATTCTGTTTTTGTGTGTAAATTTCTTTTTTTTTTCTTTTTTTTCTTTTCTCTCAAATAAGACAATTTCAGTTAGATTGCACCTGTGTGTACTAATTTGAAACAGCACAATGAATCGAACATGTTTTAGTTTAACAATATGACAATAATGATGCAATTTTCCATACCCTGAAATAAACACATCTTTTCAGATAACGAAATGACATAATTGACACTAGATGATCATTACAAAATTAAATGATTAATAACATATCTACAAATTCAATAAGATATTTTTTGTTGAAAACTGAGACGAGTATGTTGGAAAAATGGAATTCTGAATTATACCAGGGTTGACCCCCTTTTACCCACCCTACAAACTATACTGGCAAGAACTGTATATTTACATTTATTGTAATATACATGTAATACAATGAAATGAGAGTGAACTTTATTAATGATAATGATGAATATATTTTAATACACAGACAACATGACAATTGTTTTAGCTTACTGGTATAAACACCAACCCTCTACATAGACCTGAAGCCAAACTAATGTCCTGACAAACCAGATAATGTTATGACAGAATTTGAATAACAGATAAGTTTATACTGTAATTCAAAAACACAAGATTCTTATTCATAACAGTTTTAAATATAAATCTTATAGGATGCACATGAAGACCTTGATATATGAGTACAATCATTTCCGTGTTACACGATATATATATATACCTTCGATCGCAAATATCAGGAAATGTTCTGTTTTCAAACATGTGAGAAGATTTATATCTATAATCAATAAAGTATGTGTTGTTTATGATCTTAAATACTTAATTGTACATTTTGTTTTTACTTTCATCTACGTATACATGTACAAGATGGACCGATTTGTTAATTTTGTAAATGTTTTTTCAGCTCAAGCATATTTGAAACAAATTCAAATTGGTATAACATGTGAACAATTAAGTAAATATGTGTCCTGCTCGTAAACTTTTTTATATTCCTACAGCGAATTCCATGAAGTTAATACATATATGTACATATTTCGTATTCAAACTTTGGAATGATTTAGTTTAAATAGACTGCTTAATTAATATAGATTAGCATTCAGTAATGTTATATGGTACATGTAAATTGATGTTATGGTCACAAAATTGTGAAAAGTCATCAGAGGCTAGGACACTTCTTTGACAGTTTTGAAAAAAACATGTTTCTTCATTTAATTATTATGATATTTTTTGTTTCAACAGGTTTTTGCTTTAGAGAAACTCAATAAGATCGTTGATGTCTTTTGGGCAGAGATTTCTGAGGCTGTTGACAAGATGTAAGTATGGTTCTCATGCAGTTTTCAATCCATGAAAATATAAGGGGCAACTATAATGAGCTAAAAAGTCTTTGCTATGATGTTCATTCGTAATAACAAGAAATAATTATTGTCTAACATTAAATTTAACAAATAGACTTAAGATTATGATATGACATACAATGTACCAAGGAAACAATCTGATTTTTGATATTAAGTGATGTTAGTTTCTGACACTACATACAGAGTTTTCTTTACAGTCTGTATTATTATATAAAAAAAAAAATTACTACATGTATATGTGTTGTTTTCCAGTGAGATTCTGTATGAAGATATAGGATTTAAGAACAAAGAACTGGCAGCACTAGTCGCCTCAAAGGTATGCTATATAAAATAGAAGTAGCCTTCTTGAGTCAGATGTCCGTATCTTCAAGCACTCACTACAACATCCTCATTAAATTAGGGAGTGATTTGTCTGTCACTAACAGAACTCCAGTTTAGTGTTTTCCTTTATCTTGCACTGCAGCCGAAGTTGTAGTTGTTTTGTGTACTCACTACCTTTGATTTATTTTAACTCATTCGCCCCTGAAGACACATTTGAACTCTTCCAAATCAAAGGTTGGAATAGTTCATTATGAAATTTCAGGGGTGAATGAGTAAATGGTTTGCAGGTTGGTTAAATATTTTGTGGGATTAAATTTTCTGAATTGTATTCATATATCAAATATAGCAACAATAAATAAAAACCCTCTAAAAATCTATATTTGCTGTACTGCAAGTCAAGTTTAAAAATAAAACCTGTGAAATTATGGAAAACATATTTAATAATTACTGAGATATAGCAACACAGGTATGACTTTTCTGATGAAAAGAAAAATGAAGATACCTGGTACATAACACTTTTGATTGTAAGATTATCCAATCATGTTGATATCAGGGGAATATTGCATACACAATCAATTCCAGGAGATGAAAAAAAATCAGAACACACAATCAACAAGGGAGCTAACTTCTCAGTTTCATTACAACAATTTCACTGTCTGTTGACATTTACACATTATGCAAGTTTGCAATGGAGGGAGTAGTTTCACAATTTATCCTGAAAGAATCAGACAATCTTCATGTATTTTTTTTTTTTTTAAATGAGGTGCATGTTATATTTTTCAGGTATACTACCATTTGGGAGCTTTTGAGGAATCACTGACTTATGCCCTCGGAGCTGGTGGTCTATTTAATGTCAACGACACCACCGAATATGTGGAGACCACAATTGGTATGGCCACCCAAAACACAGCATAACACTGTACCCATCTCTAAATTTAATCTGTATAAAACTGTTCAGTATCCTAGCCTTATCAGGGACTGATAATAGGTCCCTATTTGATAAATCATTTCTTAAAATAAAAGTATGCCTTGCTGGACTTACATGAAAAATAATAGACATTTTTTTATTATTTTTTTATTAATAGTGTTCTAAGTGTAAAAAATCAGTATGGCCTGACCAGGTTTTTGAACTCTGGGCCACTGAATGTTATAATGTCTCTTTTACCAACTAATTTACCTGGTCGGCGGAAGTGTCCTAGACCAACTTTGCTACAGTTGTTTTGTTGGATGTTTTCATTTATTCGTGTTTTACTTTGTAGCCAAGTGTATTGACTTCTACACTAAAGGGATGCAGGTGAACACAGACACCCACGGGGCTGACAAAAAGGAGATTGACCCCCGCCTGGAGACCATTGTCAATAGGATGTTCCAGAGGTGCTTCGATGACAAACAGTACAAACAGGTCAGAGGAACTGATACATGATAGTTGTATTACCTGGTACAGATACTTTATATCCTACTCTATAAATTAGTCTCGCCAAAACATTTTTTTGGTGAAAGCTTACCTAATGTAATTCACAATTTGAAGTTTAATAAAAAAGAACAATGAATAAACCAATTGTTGATTGAAAAGTCTGCTGATTAACAGGAATTTTGAGCTGTAGTGAATGTTTTTATTTGTAACACAGGCTGTTGGAATAGCCCTGGAGACACGCAGGATCGACATCTTCAGAAGGGCCATCCTGGAAAGTGTAAGTTACATTGGAATGAAGTTCAAGCATTGAGAATGTGAAAGTTCTAAACATTTAAACTTCTCTGAACTATAAGGATGGATATCATGAAAAATTAATTCTGACTTAATCATTTTTTTACAGGTGTATATGAAGAAAAAATATTATATACACTTGTGAAAAATAAAAAAAATAATAATAAAAAAGTAAAATATTATGCATAATTAACGTACAATAAATACTGATGGTACTTGTGTAATATGATTCTGTGTGAATTTTTCTCTAGGATGATGTGGCAGCAATGTTGTCATACAGCCTTAAAGTGTGCATGTCTCTGATACAACACCGACAGTTCAGGAATGAAATCCTCACAGTGCTCACCAAACTGTACATGGAGTTAACCACACCAGACTACATCAACGTCTGTCAGGTACTGGCAAAGCAACAAGTAGTCATTTTAGAAAATCATTGTGCATGTGAATGAACCAAAAAGAAATTGTTCAAGAGACTTGGTTTGTGCAGCTATCACTTCATGAAATTTTAAGAGTTTTATTTTTTCCCAATTTAGTACGGTACTCAAACAATTTTGATTATCCGAAAGTCAAAGACCAAGTCCCTGTCTTTAGAACACCCACACAAACGCTGTCAGAAAAATGTGTTTCTACCGTCCCTGCACATACTGTATAACAGGACATTTTCTGCTGCAGTTTAATTTTCCTGCCTTTATCATTATAAAAAAAGAGGGCAAATTTATCATTAAGGCAAACATTAGTAAACAACATAATAAACATAGTGATTAAATGTTAACGGTGAAATTATAATTGGGCGAATATGGATATGGATTTTACTGGCGCGGAAGATTGACTGGGGCGAAAATTCCCCTGTATACACTTGGCGGATCCAGAGACGTATCTGGGGGTGTTTCCAAAATTTCCAGGGGTGGGTGTCCATGTGGGGAAAAATTGAAGAAAATGGTAAAAATACATGATTTAAAAAAAAAAATCTCCGGGTAGAGGGGTTTCTGGAAGCCCCCCAAAAAACTCTGGATCTGCCACTAACATTATACCATAACCTATAGTGTTACTTTATATGGTTCTCGTCACTTGCTCTGTTGTCTGAAGTGCAATGTTATAATGAGAACATGTGTATATTTTCAGTGCTACATTTTCTTGGATGATCCCCAGTCAGTGACAGAGATCTTAGAAAAGTTGATGCAAGGATCTGAGGTAAGTAAAAATCAGCATGAAAACATTCCATATAAAACAAAGTTTAAAGGTCAGAAGATAACTGGAGTTGTCCAGTGATTTTATCAGTCAGTCTCAAATACCGCAAAAGTTTGTCATAAATCTGGACACCATGGTTACTGAAATTTATTCTGCAATTACAAAGTGTTCCCTTTAGAAATGCAACAGTCACTGAGATCCATGTTAAGCATCTAAATATTAAGTAACTGCTAGATTATCTGGAGTCGGGAGGGTCCACTGAATACCAAATCTTCTGTAATCACACCATTCAGAGGTCTACATATATTTGCACCATTCAGTGAAAACATGAAGTATTCCTTTGTATACCATAAGAAAAACACTTTTGAGTTAATTTGTGATGATTTTTTATAATGTGCTCAAACCATTGAACAGGAATAATAATTTTGTTTGTTCTTTGCGCCAAAAACAAAAAGAAATGGACTAAAAATGAAAGTGATCAATAGTTTAATAGTATGACCAGAGATTATGAGTGGTCTGTTGGTTTATGCAGCCAGGCAAGCAGGTTTGTCAACTTTTAAACGTTAAGTTTTCATGAAAAGGGATTGGCAGACAAACAAAAATGTGTATCTAACACTGCTTCTAAACATTTAAACTTAATTGTTTTACAACAAGTATGAAGCAAGTTATTTCAACTTATATTAATCACTCTTGTTGGTCCGGATGTTAGCAGACAGGGGATCTTAATATGGGAGAACCAGAGTACCCCGAGAAAACCCATGTTGTAAGGCAGTTGACTCCATTCCTTTTTCATGTCCGATGATCGGGGAATCGAATCCCGGCCGCCTTGGTGAACTGCAAGTGCGCTATACACTGCACCACCCGACCTCTCTACTACTATAAACTATCAAACAATAACTTATCAGAGTGTTTTTGTATCGTCCAGAATGACATCCTGATGGCATACCAGATCGCCTTCGACTTGTACGACAGTGCCACTCAGCAGTTCCTCCTGCGTGTGGGCAATGGACTCCGCACCTCAGGTCAGGTAACGGGAACAGAGAAAGGGCGGATTATTGCCACCGTGACAGAGGGCAAGGAGGAGGAAAAAGATGGAGAGTCTGGGTAAATTCTTAATTATGAATATATATTTTTTTAGAAAATATTGAAGCCAATTTTGTCTTTAAAATATTTTTGCAGTGTTTATAAGTACATTTAATTCTTTGTCTTAAAACGTGTAATGATATAAAACGTGTAGGGAAAACAGTTTCACTTTGTTGAATTAATAATCATTCAAATTTAGTAGGAAAATTTGATATTTAAAAATCTATAGAAACACTTTTTATAATGATTTGTTTATTCAAATAGTTTAGTAATGATTGATATCGTTTAAAAGGAACCAAAATGTATATGTTACTCATGAATACTTGACCGTGTTTTGTTGTTCAATTTGTTGTGGTCTTTATTTTACAGAGAGATACAGCTAGGCAAGGTGGAACCAGAGGTTAGTGTTACATTGGTCAAAGCAAGTAGACACAGGCCCTGACTGTGTGTATAGTCAAACTTCGATGTTTCAAACTTTGTGGGACCATCTGGAAAAAAACTAAAAATCGAGACTTTGACTCATAAAAGTTAAAACTTTGAACATGTAATTGTAAAGTGATAGAACACAAGGCAAGAAATTTAATTTAAAATCTATAAATATTGGATTTAATGAAATCAGAAAAAATATGTTTCATGTATTAATACATTGTAGTTTGCTTGTTTTGGTGTTTAAATGACCAAAGGACATTTCAAATTTTTACTTTGATTTATAAGTTGCAATTTTTAGGTCACCCGAGACAAAGTCTCAAGTGACCTATTGCGATCGCCTTTTGTCCGTCGTCGTCCGTCGTGCGTCCGTAAACAATTTACATTTTCGACTTCTTCTCCAAAACCCCTGAACCAATTTCAATGAAATTTTGCAGGGACCTTCCATGGACAAAGGTCAACAAAAATAGT